GCTAGATATACGCCTGCAAAGTTTTTATAATTATATAATTATATAAATAAACTATAGCCTTAATTAGCTTTATTTATACCTTAAATTTTTATATAAATACCTGCTAAAGTATTTATAAAGGCTTTACTTATAATTTAAAAAAGTGCTTATAACTTTAAAGAGAAGATCCCTGCTTAAATAAAAAAGTATAAAGTAATAGGTATTTTACCTTTAATTATTACTAAAAATAATCTTAATAATACTTGCTATTTTCTAGATTTTTAATATCTGCCTTTTCTTATAATAAAGGACATCCCTAATAAGGAAGATATGTATAATTTAACTTTTATTAAATATAAGCGTTATACTATAGCTAAAATTTATAATTTTAAGCCTTTTAAACGCTTTACGCATATTATAAAGCTATTTTAGTATTTTAAAAAAGCGCTAAATATAAATAGTATTTAGTTTTTTAGTATTAATCCTAAAATAAAAAATAAATTTCTTGCTTTTTTTGCTACAGCGCCCCTAGTAATTATTAATAAGATTATGTAATAAATTTAGTATTAAATTAACACTTTAATTATTATAGCTATATTTAAATTATTTAATATTATATTATTTAAAGATTTTAATTTTTTTAAATTTAAACCTTAGATATATAAAAAGGTGTTTAATTATAAAAATACAAAACTTTAGTATAAAGTATATTATAAAAAAATATGCTTACTACTTTAAAATAGCACTTAGCATGTTATTAATAAAAAAAAAATATAAAGCTATTACTAACTTGCTAGGTTTTTAAACTTAAGTATAATAATACTTATAAAGCATGCCTAGTTATAAAAGGCTTTAAGTAACGCCATGGTAAGGATTTTTATAAAATATACACTATAGTGGCAAAGCCTATATTTTTTAAGGTATTTATCGCGCTTATAGCGCTTTTTAATTAATAATTATATTTTTAAAATATTATTACTATATTTTTTTATATAAAACTTAAAAAGATAATTTATATTAACCTTTTTAATAACTATAAACAAGCTAGTAAATATGGCTTTTTATTAAAAATAATATATAGCCTTAAGTAGTTGCCTAAAGAATAGTATATTTTTTTTTAAAATTTTTATTTTTTTAGGATTTAAACGCCTGCAGATAAATTATTTAATATTTATTAAAAATAGCCTATATATTTTTATATATATTAATAATATTTTTATACTTTTTAAAAATAATACTTAATATAAAGCTTTTAAGCAGGAGTTCTTAAAACTTTTTAAAGTAATAAATAATAGTTAAGTTAAGGATTACTTAGGTATTAATATTTTATTTAATATAAATAAAAATAAGATATTCCTGTTATAACACTTTTATATTTTTAAAATTTTTAAATACTTTAGCTTAAAAAACTATAAGCCTTTTTTTACGCTATTTTATAAAAAAAAGGTTTTTAAAAATTATAATAGCTAGGCCTTTATAAATAATATAATGCTTTACTAAGCTATAATAAAATACTTAATTTAGCTTATAGTTTATACGCGCCCTAATATTACCTATATAGTTTTTAAAGTTATAAAGTACGCATGTAATTTAGGTTAAAAATACTTAATTATTATTAAGTATATATATTATTATTTATATATTACTTTTTTTTTTATTTTATACTATTTATTTAATAAAAATAGCTTATAAGGCTATATTAATGCTAACTAGGCTAGCCCTTATTTAATAAAAAAAATTTTAATATTTAAATATATTTTTAAACTTACTAGTAATTTAATTTTTTAGGTGTTAAAGTGTTAGCTTAGTATAGTGCTTTTTTTTATTAAATTAAAGTATATCACGCAGGCGCTTGCAACTTAAGAACTTATTTAAATTTAATTATTTTTTATTAAGCTAAATATTAAACGCCTAAACCCTACGCGTGTGTTTTTTTAGGCTTATAACTATTTATATTAATAATTAGGGAGTAATTATTATATTTAAAAATTTTAAATACCATGCCTGCTTTAAGTATATTAATATTTATTATTATTTTTTTTACTAAAAAGTATTAAATAAAAATATTAAATTTTTATATATACTAATAATAAAGCAGGCTATTAATAAACTTATAAAGCTACTTAAAAAAGTGGCTTATTAGTATTTTATTTAAATAATTAATATAAAACGCCTTACTACACTATAAAATAACTTTATATTATTATTTTAAAAAACTAGGATAGCCTTATTTATTTATTACCCTAGGCAAGGGGGGTATTAAGAATTACTGCCCGTGGTTATATAACCCGGGTGCTTGGCGCTTTTAAATATCTTTATGTTTTATAGCCACCACCTAGCTTAGTTAGTCAGTCAGTCAATTTATTCACTTCATGGCTCATCATTCCCTTCCTCAAATCATCGAGGGGAAGCCAAACACAACACTTGCAGCAAACCCATGCGCTTGCTCAACGCCACAACGCTTATTCTCTTCGGGCTTTCTCCCAGCCAGCCTCTTTCCCACGGAGTTCTATCGCACAAATGGGGGACCGACAAAGTCCAGCTCGAACATCTCGTCCGCGGAACTGCCTGAAGCAAAGCGGGATTTCAGAAACTCCAAGGAGTCGCAAAGCAGGCAATCGACCATGGTCTGAAGAACATCTGGGTCGATCTATGCTGCTTTACCAAAAAAAAAGGCGCCGGATCCTCCGAAGCTCTTATGTCGACGAATGGCTGACCTGCTGATGCTAGACATGATACATACTGGAAGATAGTATATACTGAATGTCGAAAGACCTTGCTCGTCGATGGTTCACACGCCCAGCCGGACCCCGCGAGAACTCTTTGCTCTAGTGGATCTCTGCTCCTCGCGCAACCGGGCATTGCTAAGCAGCAAGACCGACCACTGTGGTACTGTCTCAGATTCCAGGCATCGCCGGAATACCTCAGCCAAGGCCGGGACCTATAGCGCCAGCATCTCCCAGCCTCCGGTATGCCGTGCCGCAGTTCGGAAGACAAGGCTCTCGAAGAGATAGCACAATATCTCAAGTGCACTTTTGACGTCAACATGCCCCTGCTCTGTCTACGGTGAGGGCATTCTTCATGCGTTCATTCATTCACAGGAAGAACTCATTCGCCGCTCCAGGGCTATGGCCAGCCGTTCCTCGCAGGATGTGGTCCGGCAGCGCTGCCTGATACGCTGTATGAGCTTTGCTACGTCCCCGACATATTCCCAAACTGAAGATTGACTCTAGCCTACGAGAGCTACGAGGACCGCCGCCATACCTATGCGATAACAAACCGAGAACAGCGCATCGAGTTCGCCATCCAGCAAGGCGAGTAAGACTTAACACTCGCCGTGGCCGCTTATGATTAAACCGTTTCAATATCTCATCGGGTTAGCACTACATCGGCATCTATATCATCTCCTCCTCTTCCTCCTTCGTCCCTTTCTTTCCCCCTCTCCTTCCAGTTCTGGTTTCAACTCTCCATACAAAGCCATTATTGTATGGTACTGCCTCTCTGGATAAAGCCAATCCACAATCCAGCGCCTCCTACTACGACTCGGCTTAGCCCTGCCCGGAAAAGACAGCGGCTAACGTATACCCTGCCTTGCGGAACAGACTAGACTAGATGTCCGTAGCAGCGCAGGTGGTCCTATAATTGTGCTCTGTGGGTGTGGCGGGATGTGCTGGACGTCGTAAAGAAGAAGAGGATTCAATGCTGACTGCAGCTAGATACCCAACACCCGCCGTTAGATTGGTTTAACTGTGTCCATGGCCATTTGGCAACTTACAGAATACTATAGTCAATTTCGTTGAATCAAAGTTGGCTCCGCGGAGCCTGTCTTGTCCACTGTATACCTGGACCACCCTATGATCCAAACAACCTTGCCCTGCATTAGCCAATGTGTCAGGCCCAAGTGATCGGACCCCGGCCGGAACTCTGGGGCATATGCCTCAGGTGCAGGAAAGATGCAGGCATCGACACTTGGTCCAAACCAGGTACGTAACTTTCCAGCTACTCGTATTGCTTACCATTTTAGGATTCTGCTGCTCATGAATATGGGCAAGCTGAAATGGATACCTAAGAGGGGTCATACCCGGAGCATTAGCAGACCTGCCGGCCAGGGTCAGAATTTTGAGGTGCTTTGATACCTCACACTACGTATAGGAAAACCCTAGGTCTCTGTCCAACACAATGCAATCGGTAATTCAATGGTAATAGCAGCTTGAGTTCGGACATGATCTAAGGAATAGATCCTAGTAATATACCGTGATCTCATGATAACTTCCCGATTTCGAGGTAGTACTTCCAAAAGGAAGAATAGACAAAACAACTACATCACACTTAGAAACAGTGTACAACTGGAAGTATACATGCGCTAAACTGGAGCTGACAACTCCATATCGACAGTGGTCCAAGACAAACCTGCACGTAGCAAGTATAGCGCCACTTGGACGAACTCATCCCGAGACGTCTCCTGTAAGCCTACCATGTGTTACTAGTCATCCAAGGTAAGAGTTCAGATAGTGCACTAGTACCCTAGGACGCCACTACAATGGCGGTATTGTTCCAGGTCTCTCCCAAATTGCAATTTGCCTGTATTTTCAAGACAATCAAGGCTTTGATACTAGTGGGATGCATATTCGTGGAAGAATACGGAGCATATCCAGGCGGGCTTTGCTTCGGGTCATCTTCGCCCGAGCAAGGGGGTTTTCGGCCTCGCGGGGTATTCCCCCGGGACCCGAACGTGGGCTGGTTCGGTGGCGGGGTATTTCCAATTTCTAATCAGCCGCGGTTACAGGACGGTGGCTGGGAGCGCTCTGGATGATTGCTCGCCTTGTTTGGATTTTACCGTACTTAGAGGGACCACAAGGGCAAGTGAAGAATCGTAAATCGTATCTGGATTATCTGATATGTTTTACATAAAACTAAAACACATTGCTGCTGACAAGGCAAGCACTTTGAACCATGGCCGTAGCACGCGGGATATATTCAACTTGTATTCGCAATTCATCATAAATGTCGGACCATCAAATTTAACCGAAGAGAGCGTCACCCAGACGGTAGTGCACCGCCTTGACCTGTGTGTAGTTCTCGAGGGCGTAGGAGCCAAGCTCACGTCCGAGACCGGACTGCTTGAAGCCACCGAAGGGAGCCTGGTAGGAGATCAGGTTGTAGCTGTTAATCCAGACGGTACTGTGTAGAGGTTAGTCAGTTCCCGAGCATGAGACGAGCCACTTACCCAGCTTTCAAGGCATTGGAGACGCGAATGGCTGTGTTAACATTCTTCGTGTGTACAGCAGCAGCAAGGCCTAGAAACACGTCAGTAAGATCCTAATAGCAAATACCAATCTCGAAGAACGTACCGTAGTCAGTCGAGTTACCAATCTTAATCGCCTCAGCCTCGTCCTTGAACTTCTGGACGGTGACGACAGGGCCGAAGATCTCCTCCTTGGCAATCTTCATGTCGGAAGTGACGTCGGTGAAGACAGTAGGCTGGATGAAGTAACCCTCCTCACCGTGGCGGTCACCACCGACGGCGACGGTGGCACCGGCCTGCTTACCGTGGTTGATGTATTCCATGATACGGTCGAACTGGAGCTTGGAAACCTGAGGACCCTGGAAGGTGTCCTGCTCGAAGGGGTTTCCGACCTTGTTCTGAGCGGCACGCTCCTTGAAGCGGGCGACGAACTTGTCGTAGATACCCTCCTGGACGAGGATACGGGAACCGGCACAGCAGCACTGGCCGTGGTTGAAGAAGATACCGAAGTTGGACCAGGAGATGGCGTTGTCAATGTCGGCATCATCGAAGACAATGTTGGGGGACTTGCCACCAAGCTCAAGGGTAACCTTCTTGAGGTTGCTCTTCGCAGCGGCCTGGAGGATGGTGCGTCCAACGAGGGTAGAACCAGTGAAGGCAACCTTGTCAACGTCCATGTGGCTAGAGATGGCAGCACCGGCGACACGACCGAAACCGGAGATGATGTTGATGACACCAGGAGGGAAACCAGCCTCCTTGATCAGCTTGGCAGCGTAGAGAGCGGAGAGAGGAGTCTGCTCAGCAGTCTTCAGGACAACAGTGTTACCGGTGGCAACAGCGGGACCAATCTTCCACGCCCACATGAGAATGGGGAAGTTCCAGGGGATAATCTGACCGCAGACACCGACGGGCTCGTGGCGGGTGTAGCAAAGAGTCTCAGGGTTGGTGTCGATGGTCTGACCGTGGATCTTGTCGGACCAACCAGCGTAGTAGCGCAGGCAACCAATGGCGTTGGCAAGGTCGACCTTGGCCATGGTGAAAGCCTTGCCGTTGTCGAGAGACTCCACAGCAGCGAGGATGTCGATGTCGCGCTCCATCAGCTCCGCGAGCTTGTTGATGAGAATGCCCCGCTCGGAGGGGGTGACCTGGCGCCATGGCCCGTCGAAGGCAGCGCGCGCAGCAGCAACAGCGGTGTCGACATCCTTCTCGGTGGCTTCGTGAACGGAGGTAATGACCTTCTCGTTGGAGGGGTTGACGGTCTCGAAGGTCTTGCCCTCGGCACCCTTCACGAACTCATTGTTGATGAACCTACAAGCAAGACATTGTTAGAAGATAAGCTCAACACGAATAATGGGAGAGAATGTCATACAGTCCGAGGGGCTGCTCGAACTTGGCGGCCGGAGTCTCGATGGTAGTGAAAAGGTCAGACATTGTGAGAGGAGAGTATCAAAAGGGGTATCTTGGAGAGAAGAGAGAAGAGACAGAAGTGAAAGCCGAGCCAGCGGGGAGCCGATGCTTTAAGAACAATAATCTCTGGCTTCGGGTGGTACTGGTCCAGTACGGGTGGCAGCAAAAGAGGGGAAGGAGGGGAACAGGTCAAGCGGAGCCGCTCTGGACGAGGACAGCTCTGAGCCATGGAAATTACGTGTAGCACCGCCCAGGGCTCCACTGTCTCCTTAGGAGGTGAACTCATTCCGTCCTCGTTCCCACTGCCTCCACGGGCCAGAGCGCCCTGAATTCTGTGGCTTCAAGCTTGGAAAGCTCGCGATAATATTAATAACCGAGGTGGTATCGCAGAATAAAACTTACAAACCGCCACCAAATTGTGCAGGAGCAGATCGTGCGGGGTTCGTCGCCACAGAAAGTCATCGGATTGGAAACAGAGCTGACTCGCAAACGTCATTCATTGGGGTTCTTGGCATCGGAGTCCCTCCGCTATGGTATTTGCAACTTTCGCTATGCTAAAAGATACTCAAGTGGGAATCATCCTCTTTACCTAAATAGAGGCTACGGCGTATACCAGGGTATCGCCAGGTACTCCGTACCACCAAGGTAGGTTGCACATCCTCGCCCTCATGGTCCTCATACTTCGGCCGGGGTCTAAAGATTCCAGGCTGATTAGTCAACATGCTGACCCCTCCTTCTGCCCCAGAGAGGGATATTATTCCTTATCCCCGGATTATCGCCCTCGCTGGAAATTTGGGCACTCTGGGGTTTAGTCTCTCGTCCGCAAGAATAAGCAAGATGCTGACAAGCTCTGACCCCGCTGCGGAAGACATGCGGAACCGCAATCCTTCAGCAACGGTTTCATGCCGTTTCTGAGCGCCAACAAAATCATTTGACCATGGCCAAGGTTACCCCCGATGCAGGCCGAGATTTGCCTTCTGTTTCCTGGGACGATGATCATTGGCGAGCTTCATGCAAAATCCCTGGCGCAAGCGTCGCAAGCGTCACTTTTACGGTGTGCTGTGATGATAACAATTGCCCACATATTGCACCTCTCGTCGCTACCTCAAATCTCGATTCGCATTGAGATGAGATATACTGCTAGTAAGAGATGGCTTCTCTACCGGTGGCATATCGCCATGTGGCTGGGGTTTTGGGTATGGTGACTCATATGACAGGCCAGATCCTTGCTTATAGGTAATCCAACCATCGGAGTTGGAGACATTCTCCGCATTGCTTGTGATTCGAGATAACTGAGCTTCAGTCGCATCTTTACACCAGATTCTTCCCATATTTCCCATCACTTCCCAGGTCTCGGAATGCCAAAATTCTATCCGTCCATCTCCCCTGATCTTCGCGACTGGGCGCTGGGCCAGAAAGTGTTCTTCACGGCCTCTGCCCCTCTCCGTGGCCGCCATATTAACTTGTCCCCCAAAGGTCTCCCTGATGCTTCATTTGCCATCCTAGGCCCAAACGAAGCAGCATACGTCGACGCTACTGGATCTGGTGGTGAGACCATCAGCCACCTCCGCGAAAATGGCCGCATCACCATCCTCTTCTGCTCCTTCGATGCAGCTCCCCGTATCCTACGATTCTTCTGTACCGGTTCTGTAATTGAATGGAGCGATCCTGACTTCGGACCATACCTCAAGCGCATGGGAGGGAAGAGCCTAGTGGGGGCGCGTGCCATCATCCGGCTGGATGTTTTCAAGGTTTCATCAACCAGTCGCATATCAAATGTCAAACTCGCTAACGCCAAGGTCTGAGCCAGGTACAAACCTCATGTGGTTATGGTGTCCCACAACTATCCTTAGCTTTTGACGAGGAAACGAACGAACCACGGCCGTATTTCAAAGACCGAGAAACTCTGAGCAACTGGGCCAGCAAGAGAGTGGAAGCCGGTGAAATGCGTGCCTATCAGGAAGAATGGAACAGTCGTAGTTTGGACGGGCTACCCGGCCTCCGAACAGCTCTGCAGGACAAGGGTCAGAGTGTGCAGCTGGCTAACCTGAGCAACTGGACTCATTACCACCGGGACGATATTGAATTGGTCAAGACATCTGCGCTGCTGTTATTTGTTGCCATGGCGATTCTCCAATGGGCTGGATACGTTGATTTTTATTTGAACCATTAGCATGACTGGCTATATGAATTCGATATTACCTAGCGCATAATTCGATGTTTGGTTCAACACCTGCTGTTTTATGGCTTCTACCACGGTAGTCGACTATCTTACACTCAGTACTACTTTCGACCCCGCATCAAACCGACAGCCGAGGCGCTTCATCTTTTCCATCCGTCATCCACCATCCAGTCATTTATCTTTATCATGTATTCTTTTTGACCTGCATTCTCATCGATTATGGCATACCCTTATGGATACTCCGCGTCTGCTACTACAGCCCTAGAAAGTCCCATCACAGAAGCCCGCCATCGCACGTCCCGTCCTAAGTTCCTATCATCACCATGAGCTCTCGACCGGTTCGAATAGCAGGTATGCTTTCCATCCTATTAAAAAGTCCACCATAACACTATCCCTAGGTGCCTCCGGCTCCGCATCAGACCGCCGCCATGCCATCGCAGAATTCGCCCACAACTATCCTCGCGATCCCGTGGATGTCATAATCGCCGATTTCATGAGCGAAGCCAACATGGTAGTTGCTGCCGGACGTCGAGTCGATTTAGACAAGGCACGCTCTAAATCGGACATGTCTGGTAACAACACTGATATACCACCGGGATATGAGCCGTCTTTCCTTTTGGCCCTGGAGCCGGCCCTGGAAGATCTGGCGAAGTACCGCATCAAGCTCGCTGTTAATGCAGGGAACACGGACACTCAGGGACTGTATGAGGTGGTGACGAGCATGGTTCGTGCGAAAGGGTTGGATCTGAAGGTTGGCCAGCCTTTTCCCTGCTATTGATGCCTAGCTCATGCGCAATGCTAGGTGGCCTGGGTAGCTGGAGACGAGGTTTTGGCCACGGTCCAAACGGCGCTGGCAGCAGGCAAGTCGTCTTTCAGAAACATTTACACCAACGAGGTACTTTCAGACTGGTCGTTCGAACCGATCTTTGCGCAATGCTACCTCGGAGGCCTTGGCATTGCGGCTGCCTTTGCTGAAGGGGCCGACATTGTACTCTGCGGACGAGTGTCTGATGCATCTCCGGTGATTGGAGCGGCATACTGGTACCACAGATGGCAGCGGAGCGACCTTGATAAGCTCGCCAACGCCTTTGTCGCGGGACATCTCATTGAGTGCAGCAACTATGTCTGCGGAGGCAACTTTACAGGCTTCAAAGAACTAGAGCACGTCGGCAGAGACGGCTGGTCTAACATCGGCTACCCCATCGCCGAGATATCAGCAGAAGGCAAGGTCGTCATTACAATGCAGTCATATACCAGCGGGGGCGCCGTCACGGTGGATACCTGTTCGTCCCAGCTACTATACGAGATCCAAGGTCCCTGGTATTTCAATTCGGACGTTACAGCCATCCTAACAGACATCCACTTCGAGCAACTGGGCACCAACCGCGTGGCTCTCCACGGCGTCCGCTCCGCTCCGCCACCCCCAACCACAAAGGCCGGCATCACAGCCCGCGGCGGCTTCCAAGCAGAGGCGTCCTATTTCCTCGTGGGCCTTGACATCGACGCCAAAGCCCGCATGCTAGAAGCGCAGATCAGACACCTCCTAGCCCCTTACAGCCCCAACTACACATCGCTCAGATTTTCCACTCTCGGCTCCTCCCCCGACAATCCTAGAGACCAGAACAGCGCAACCGTCACCTTCCGCGTTATAGCACAAGCCCGCAACGCCGAGGACATCGCACCAAATGCCTTCCTACGCCCCATCACCGACAATATCATGCAGGGCTACCCAGGCGCAACCTTCCACCTCGATCTGCGCCAGGGCTTCCCAAAGCCGATATTCGAGTACTACGTGACCCTCCTCCCGCAAGAAGCCATCACGCACCGCGTCCACCTTCCCTTCAAGAACAGCAAGATCCTCACCATCCCGCCACCCCCTGAAACAAGAACCTACCCAGACCGCCAACCCTGCGAGTCCGCGTCCGTAAATCTAAACGCATCCGCATCGGCGGTGAACGTGGACATGGTAACCCTAACAACCAACCCGTCCGGACCCGTTATCGGCGCCGCCAGGCCCGCCACGGTCAACAACGGGCTTAGCCTCACCCCGCGCTGTCAAGCACGTCAATTCGCGCGAAATGCTGAGCCTGAAGTCTCTGAAACTGGGTTTGAGACACCATTCGGCCCCACCGTCCGCGGCCCACTCGGCTGGCTCTGCCACGCCCGCTCCGGCGACAAAGGGCCCGACGCAAATTGCGGTTTCTGGGTGCGGCACGCCGATGAATACACGTGGCTCTGTGGGCTGCTTAGCATCGAGACCGTGGCGATCCTTTTAGGGGATGAAATCCGGTATCGCCCAGGGGCCAAAACGAACGCCGAGCAAAATGCGCGCCCCAGCCCGAGCCCGAACTATACCCGGGCCCGGGCAAATGTAAATGTGACACTGAGCATCGAGCGCTTTGAGCTGAAGAATCTGCGAGCCGTGCACTTCCTCTTTCGCAATCTACTTGACTGCGGCGTGTCGTGTACGACGACGGTCGACTTTTTGGGGAAGAATGTTGCGGAGTTCCTCAGGGCGCGGTGGGTGGATCTCCCAGTGAGGTTTTTGAATAGGGGCAAGCTGTGAGTGGGAGGGGTGCTCTGCTTTTTCCGTTATGGGGTTTGATGGGATTCTACGTGTTTTCCATGATGGGGATGCGGATGCTAGATAGCCTAGAAGTGCCGTGTCTACTGCCTGCCTAGGGAAATGGTGTATAGGGGTTCGGGTCGGGTCGGCGGGGTTGTAGGGCTGTGGGATCAGGTAGGTTCGTATTCGTAGTCTGTAGATAGGGGTAGTGCGTGTTTTATTGATGTTGTTTTTGAAATAACTAGTGCAGAAGTGAGTTGCGCAGGTAGGGGAATTGTATTTTTCAGAGGACCCGAGGGCATAAGCTCTGAATAGATACTTATGCCCAGGTGTGCTTACGAACATCTGGAGTTATGGTCGAACTTGGCTACGGGGCTCTGAGTCTAATATCTAGAAAGTGAGCGCTCAATAAGCAATCAAGACACTTGATTCGTCATTCTGAGGGGGTATTTGATGTTATCACATTACACGCACATATCTCTGCCCATCCATTTCCGTTCCGTAAACATAACCCGAAATAATAACACTACCTCCTCCGGCGATTACTGCTAGGCATTGGCTCAAACCCATCACTATCGTCAATGTCCTCGCTGAGCACACTGACACTCCGTGTGGTGCGATTCGGCCTCATCGACCTCGTATTACTGCTTGCCCCAGCACCAGCACGCTGACTCGACTGCGAGCCAACAAAGTCCAGCGTTAGCTGGGTTTGCTTGCCTCCTCTTCCACGACGCGCGGTGGTGGTTTGGCTGACAGTATTTGAGGACGGGGCGGGAGACGCAGCTGTGCGTTTCGTCTGGCGCGTGCGGGTTGTGGTCGTGGCAGCTGCGGCTGTTTTGCGTGTCTTGCTGGCTGGTTGTTTGACGAAGAGGGCTTGCGAATCTTCGTCTTCGTCTTCATCGTCTGGCTCTATGACTTCAGGTTCGTCGTCGTCGTCGAGCATGACGACGTCGTCTTCATCCTCGTCTTCGTCTTCAGATACGGCGCGGCGGCCGCGTCCTCGGGCGGTCGTTGCTTTTGTTTTGGACGCTGCAGGCTTCTTGGCTGCGGCCGCTTTCGTGGTAGCTGCTTTGCGGGTGGTCGCGGTCGCTGCGGCTCTACCTCCTCTACCTCGCCCACGGCCGCGTGTAGATGTTCGTGCAGCTGGTGCCTCAGTGCCGTCCTCACCGGCTTCTTCCTCGTTGGGGTCGCCGCCTTCGTTGTCCGAGTGGATGAGCGCACCTGGCTGGTCTTCCCAAGGGCCGTCGAATTCGGAGTCCCAGGTGTCGGGCTTTGGCTTGAAGCGCTTCTTGCCACGGGTGCGTTTCTTGACGCCTCTTGAGAACATGTCTTCCATCTGAGTGCGGTATTTCTCCATGGCTTTTTGCAAGGAACTTTGTTGTGTGTCATCCTCGTCGGCATCACTGTCGCGGTCGAGTGAGAGGAGGTGCTTTATTTGACCATCGAGAGACTCGTTCACAAACATCTCCATGGCGTGTTTGTCGTCCTTGTCAATGAACTGGGAGACCGCATCGCCGAAGGAGTTTTGTGGGAGAATAGACAAGGATTGCTGGGCGAGGAACTCGCGGACGAGTTGTTCGACTTGTACTGTGTCTAGCGTGGAGAGGCGGGACAATGCCTCTTCATCGAGATCGTTATCCTTCTTCCGTGCTGTAGGGTTTTTCTTCTTTCGGTGGAACTGCACGACGTCGTTGACATTGGCGACTTTACCGACGAATCTGTTCGAGAATCTCTGCGGGTTCTCGCAGTCATAGCTGCCACCTTCGGGTGTGGATGTTTCGACCCGGAGCCGTACGAGCGGCAAGGGGACCTCTAGCTCGTCTTCTTCGTCTTCGTCTTCTTCGCCCTCCTGCCGCTGGGGGCGGTGCAGCTCTAGCCACTCCGCATTGGCCTGTTCAATTAGTTCCTCTACGATGTCCATGAGGAAGCGGGTGACTTCAGTGCGGTTGTTCTCTTTGCGCGCTAGTTTTTGAGCTCCTTTTTCTTCGGACAGCACAATCTCCCGCATCACAAACGGGCGTACCGACTTGAGCCGGATCGGCTCGCATTTCATCTCTTTTCCCGTGATGCTCAGAATAGCGACATGTTTCGGTACTGCTTCGCCGGGCACCAAGGAGGTTGCGACCGATGAACCCGGCTGCATCACCTTGAATTTCGTTTCTGGGTTGGTACGAGGGTTGATCAAACTCTCATGCTCGTGACCCCAGATGACAAGATCGAGGAATTCTGGAAGGAAGTTCTCGGGAAGGTATCCTGTCTCCGTGTATGGATGGTGGTTTTGATGGACACAAATCAGGTTATACCAATCATCTTTCTGGACGGAGGGTCTGAAGAACTTGACCTTTCCGTCACGGAATGTGCGGAATAACCGCTCGTCTCGCACGTTGCTCATTCCATAGAGCGCCAGTTTGGTTCGGCCTTTCTGCAGTAGAACCGGCTTGAGCTGGATATTGTCTGACTCCGGCGTTCGCCCATAATAATTGAGTAGACCCGAGACCTGTAGGATGTCCAAAGCCGCAAGGTGGCCCTCCCCGGATGGGTCGTCATGGTTTCCGTGGATAGAGAAGATGGGAATTCCGACGTTAATATCGAGATCTTCATAATTGACATGGTTGAAGGCGCCCTGAAAGTTTTCGCTTGCGTCACTAAGCAGTTGAAGTTCACAAGGTTTCTCGCCGAGACAGTTCATTCGAATTGAGCGCATCACTTGATACATGGATTTCCGGGAAGGCTTGTTCTCGTGGAAAAGATCGCCCGCCAGGAGCACCATATCCACATCACGTTGCTTCGCCAGGCACATTACTTCGTGGAAACTCTTCCAGCTATCGTCGCCCCTGATGGGGTCTCGCTCATTGTAGCCGACATGGTTGTCCGTTGAGACAAGGATGCGGATCGTTTCCGCGTCTGGGTGGTATGAGTATGAGACCTGAAATTTGGCATCATGAAGCACTCTTACCTGACATACTACTGGACATTACGACGGCGTCCGGCTGAAGAGCAAGCGAAACACTGAAAGTCCGGTATAAACGTCTTCAATATGATCTGCTATGGCAGCAGGTAGCCAACCATTGGCCTCAACAGCTGCTGCTGCCTGAATCAATCAATTTTAACGACGCAATCAAAAACTAAGCTGGAAAGTGAGCTTTGAGCAATTCTAGCCAGTCACTGTAGCACGCGGAACAGACCAACTCTGCGGTGCGGGAACGCAGTCATATGCAGCAACGTTCTTTGCTTCGACACGCCTCTGGATCCGCCACAACGCGACATCACGTGTCAAAGCACGAAACTTGAATGGAGGCGAATGTCCGTCAATCTCCCACTTCGAGTCTTTCTTCCATCCCTTCTCACTTTTCCCTTTGTCCCTCTGTGTACCTTGCGCGCTCAGTTCATCAGACTCGCAGCCTTCGCATCTTCGCTCGCTCACCCGCTCACCTTCTTCCGTCTTCACCCATCCGACTGAACCAGACCTAGTACCTGGCTCAGTCGTCATCGCTCTTATCTCTTACCCCGCGAACACCTTATATGCAATCAGGGCCTTCCTACGATTCAAACCGTCCAGATACAATAATACCGCCTCCAGAGAACTTCCATCCTATCCAGCATGGACATGATCTTTATGGCGATTTCCCAGGCCCTGGCCGTCTCTCTGAAGACGCCGGAGGCTCTGACTCATCGCCTGGCGAATTCCCGCTACTAAGCACCGAACCTTCAGCATCAGATCGAGTCAGCGAGCATGAGCGCAGTTCTCGGAGCCAGTCGGATGTTGGTTTCATAGTGATACCTTCGACGAAACCGTCGAGCGTGTCTCTGGATGATTTTCCGAATGGTTCGTCTTGTCCAATCACCGGTGCTCGTCCAATCATGTGCCTAACGTATGGATCTCAGAGGTTTTAACCCATATTTTGTCCCACCTGCCTCCGCCGTCTTTGTCGTCTTTTGCGCTAGTATCTCGTCGATTCCACGGTCTCGTCACTACCCCTCATGCATGGAGAATTGCCTTCTCCCGATACTTCCCCGGCCCTTCTGTATTGGAAGATACAGAGGTCTCCGAACGGTTGACGTCAGACAAACGATACTTTTCGAGGCTTACCGCACTTGCGTCGTGGAGGAGCGAGTACATTTTGCGAACTCGTTTGCTGCGATCGCTCTCACGAGGCAAACCGGGGCAACTCGAAGTATCGAAGAAGAATGGCACAGTCCGAACCGCGTCGGTCCGCAATGGAAGTGCGATCGCGACATATACTTCTCAACTTTTATATCCTGTCAGCCACTTGGACGGGACTTTCGGAAGTGACTCTGCTAAAAAAGAGCCTCTGTTCATTCATGGAGCCTCGGAGCAGTGCGCTGTGACTGCAAGCGATCCCTCGACCGTCAAAGTCGGAACTTGGGGTTTGGCCGACCACAACTTCTCCCGTCACTTTGCCGATTCGTTCCCCGGCGAAGCTGAATATGGACTTGGATCCGGTAATCTTGTCGGAGTGCCCAATTCTATGGATGTCAGCCAGCCGTTTGGTATGATTTATGGCGAAGGATGCCCACAAGGGCGTACATACTATCTGTCTACGGCTGAGCAGAGGGGAAGGTTCTTGGATATTCTCAACGATGGAACCTCAATTCCTAAACTCGGTGTCCCTGCCATAAACCGCATCACGACCGCCATCACTGCAGTATGGATCGCGAAATCGTCCGAGATACTCAAGATGACTAGCGGCTTGGTGGGAATGTTGTCTGGTTCTTCCTCCGGAATCGTAACGGCTTATGCACTGGGACCTCATCCGATGTACGAGAAGCGCTTCGAGAGGGGCCAGGCCACAGCTCGATGGGTTCTCAGTCCCGGTGTCCCTATTGTCAGCATCTCTGTTGATGACAATTATTCCCCGAAGCGTCGCCAACGTGGACGGGCGTGGGCAGTGGTGCTGAACGCTTTGGGGGAGGTGTTCTACCTTTCTGAAGTGCCTCAGCAAACCGACCCCCAGCCGGCCAATATCACGCCGGAAGCTGCCGATCAACTGGCTTGGAAGACCGGTCGCACTGTACGCTGGGAGTTAGTGGAAGTCAGCAGACGAACTGCTAGGCCCGATCCATTTAATCGCGAGCTCGTCGATGGCAGTTACAGCCCACGGTCATCCTCAGACTCGATGAAGCTCAGCGAGGAACAGATAATAGCGGAGACGAAAGAGATAGAACAATTCATGGCGTTCAAACCGAAGCATTTTCGCAAGGTGTGCGAAGGTTGGGATATGAGGCGTGATCTCCGAGTCGACTTTTCCGGGGGGGATGGTCATGGTGCTGGCGAATCCTTCATTGTGGTTCAACGGGGTGATGGAGAAGACCAGAAAGCCACTATACGGAGGTATACTCGCAAGCTTCGACCCTCCCATCACTCGGCATCCCTTTCTCAACATACTTCTCCTATACCGCGCGTCGCTTCCTCCTCGATCTTCGGCGGTCCTGCAATCTCTCCAGGTATTTCGTCAGCGGCAAGCAGTTTCCCACCGTCTCGAGCCTCGGGTCAAATTGATGAGTCTGTTGTGTGCTCCCCTTCAAACACGGAATGGTATATTACAGACTTTCACTTTGATGGCCGAAAGTCGCTACAAATAACGACAAGTGCTTTGGACGTTTCCACCTACGCCGTATTAACTCCTGAGGAGGACCTCCTTATGTCGGGTAGCTCCGAGTCGTCATCAGTCGTCTCATCGCCGCTGCCGCATATGCAACGGCCTTCCGGTTCCGAAATTCCAGGTCAGCGCGGGCGATACATGGCTGTTGGAACTGCGACAGGATCCGTCTTTGCCTGGGACATTCGTTCGCCCACTTCGAGAAACTCTGAGATCATCAACTCTGTCGCTCCGATCCGGGCCATTTTCACAGAATCTCCAAGCGTCTCTTGTGTTGCTTTGACATCGCTATATCTGGTCCATGGTGGAAATGATGGACTGGTGCAGGCCTGGGATCCTCTTGCCTCCACGACCCGTCCGATTCGAACCATCAACTCCCGCTTCTCCACACGTGCGCGTCGACGATTAGTCCAAGCTGAAGCCTCCATCAATGGTGTCGGAAACAACTTCTATGCAACCGGTGCTATCAGTCTCGATCCTGATCCCACTCGTCTGAGAGGAATGGTAGCTCTGGGCACCCATCTCCGTTACTGGTCCTACAGCTCTACCGCCGCAGACCAATACAAGAGTAGCAAACGCCGACTTCGTTATGGGCAACGTGGTAACAACGCAGCAGCTGGCGGTCAGCGGTTCAACAATAGCGGACGTGGAGCCATCAACGATTATATCGAGGACGAAAAGCGGGAGATGGAGCGACAAGCGCAGGCTGACCAGAAGGAAAGAGCCCACCTGAGCAACCGCTTCGGCATCGACCTTCTGGGACCGGACGTCAGCGAAGAGGAACTTCTTGCCTACGCACAGTTGTTGAGCCAGGAAGCTTACAGCAGCGAAGCGATGAAGCGCAGTGACTCTGTGGTAGAATCTGTGATCAGCTCTTCTCCTAGCGACACCATCGGGCCGAACGATAGTTCCGTTGCGCCAGATGAGCTTTCCTCAGCCTCTTCGCCGTGTAACGATCCGGTAGACGATGACATGGACCCGGAAATCGCGGAAGCGATTCGTCTGAGTCTTCTTGAAGAATCAGCGGGTCAAGGCTCATTCGATTCACCGTCACCCTTCTCCGTTAAGTACTCGATTGGCTCAGCGTCGGGCAGGAGCACATCATCGCCCGCCAAATACCCAGTCGCAGAGAGCAGCCGGCAACAAGAGGTCGATGATCTCGATCTGGCTATCCAGCTGAGTCTCGTGGAGACTCATGGCCATGGTCAGTATGATGAACCCACCGACCACCAGGTGGAGGAGTTCCCTTCCCTACCCGCGGCGTCTCCTGCTTCCTCGAAGAATAAGGGCAAGGCTCGAATGGTGCTGTAATCCTCTTTGTCTAATAGTGGCTTTCACCTAGTATATCTTTTGTTTCATTTTTGCCTGTGTACACTTTCATCACCAATAATTGCAATTCAAATTAGACCTCCACCCGAACTTAATCAAATTCGTAAAATTTTAACCATAAGTTGGAAAAAGCCGCGGTATATATATATAGTATCACATCTGCACTTGATGGCATCCTATCTGCCTCTATATGCCTGGACATTGTCGAATTTGAGGCCAGAAAAGGAGGACATGATACGCTGCTCTGATTACCCTGGCCTGCTCGTTCCTCCGTCGACCGTACGTACCTGCCTTGTTGAGCTCTGTTTATCGAGGATCCGGTCGCGCCTTCCTCCCTTAGCTCTAGCTAAAACATTTCAAAACCTGATTAGGAAGCTGCAACCCTGGGTTGTACCTTCCTACCTTGGGCATAAGTCCTGATACTGCTTTACTGCAAATTATAGTAATGTATGTCAAAACAGCCCCAAGAAACACGAAAAGAAGTTTCATTCATGCGGGGAATAATACATTGAAGAAGTGTAAGATAGGCGAAGCAAGACGTTATCTAAGAATGAAATACATACAGGTCAAAAGGGTGACGAGAACATGGCAAGGCCAAAAGAAAAAGCCCCAAGTACGTAGTCTAGACAATTTGGTTTATTTACAGCATGACCAGACCGAAAATGGTAGCGGCAACGGTAGCGAGGCCGACAGGGACAGCAACGGTGCCAGCGGCGTTGCCACCGTCACCGGAGTCGGAGTCGCCGTCAGAGCCAGAGGCAGAGGCAGAGGAGCTTGAGCCGCTCGAGTTGGAGGAGCTGCCGATGGTGCTGTTGCCGGGCTGGTTGGACTGACCGTCGGCAAGAACGTTGAGCTTGAGGCCGGTGATCTTCTGGCCGTTGTGGTCGTAGATGGTGGTGGAGACCTCCTGGGACTCAACATCAACGATCTTACCGGCATCGACCTTGGTGTATCCGTCGTCGATCAGCTTCTGGACTCCAGGGGGCTTGGCGGGGAGGGTGAAGTTGGAGCTGAAGGTGCCGTTCTGGATGAGGTCGGCGCTGCACTTGATGGACTTGACGCTGGTCTGGGTGGCGTTGGAAGAGCTGATGCGGTCCATGTCGAGCTTGGCGTACTGGGTCTGGAGGTTGTCAAAGTCGACGAGAAGGGTAAGGGTGTCATTGTCGTTGACCTTGACGAGACCGTAGTCGTTGTCCTCCTGGGTGTACTCGTAGACGAGACCACCGGAGAAAGTGGCGGTCATCTCCTCGCCGTAGATGGCCTGGACTTCGGTGAATTCACGGGGCTGGACCTCGTTGCAGCCGTACTCGGAGAAGAAGACGGGGATGGTGGCATCAGACATCATCTCGGTGAGCTTGTCGTAGCCAGAGCTCTTGTAGCTGGCATCACCGCACCACGAGTAGGAGTTGAGACCGAAGAAGTCAGAGTGCGAGTTGGGGTAGTCCTCATCCTCGCACATGAAGTAGTTGAGGGTGTCCTCAAGGATGGGGCGGACATCAGCAGCAGAGTAACCGACGGGAATGGAGCGGTCGAGATGGTTGGAGATGTACTCCTTCATGTCACGTTGGACAGCCTGATGCCGGGTTAGTTATTGTTTAGCGTGGGAAAATGTGGTGAAACGTACGCGAATGTATTGAGGAACCTGCTCAACACTGTCCTCGTTGATGACCTCGTTACCAGCGAAGAACGCCAGAGTGTTGGGGTAGTCCTTGAAGGCCTCGATGATACCAAAGACCTGAGTGTAGTAGTCCTTGGTGTAGGTGGTCCAAGGAGCAGTGCGGTCAATGTAGCCAGGGTACAGAGGCGAGTTGACATCGAGGATCATGTAGATACCGGCGGCATTGAAGATGGAGACACACTCGTCGTGGTTGAGGTCAGGCGCCAAGTTGTAGATACGGATGGTGTTGACACCCAGCTGCTGCATGAGAGCAGCATCGCGCAGACAAGCCTCTTTGTCAGTCAGAGGATCGGACTTGCCGTTCACGGCGTTGGTACCACCGGGCTGGTAGCTGTTGGATAGAAAAGTTGACGATCAGCACCACCGCTTTCTCAACCGAGTAACGAGATCGAATATCGTTCAAGAGATCTCTGAGATGTGGATAGGTAAATCCTTACTCGACACCGAGGATCTGGAACCGATCACCAGTCTCACTGTTCACAAAGTCCTTTCCCTTGACGATAACAGGAGTAACAGCGCTGGCGGTGGTTGCGAGCGCGCAAGCCGCGGCGAGGATGCGACCGTATGTCTATCAATGTTGTCAGTCGCACGTTCGTCTATCGGAAGATTAGTAGGAGAGAACTAACAGCGACCATTGTGTATGTAGTTGGGCGATTCTACGCAACGCTTCTGTGATAAATATCGAGGTGAATTTGGTAAAGACCGTGTAGGGTTTTCCCCCGGAAGACCCTGGAATTGGATATGGAAGGAGTGACGGCGGTGCGAAGACCGGGAACAGAACGAACGAACGTGGGATATCAAAAAAAAAATGGTAAGCAAAGGTCGTCAGGAGGAAAGAAAGACGTTAAAAAGCGATGAGAAGAAGTTTAAGAGGGAGAGAGCTGGGAGATGATCCTGCCGCAAATTAATAGAGCGCGTTGATCGGCCCTCGAGTCCAACCAAGAAAGCGATAAGCCCGAAACACTGGGCAGGCACCACGGCCTTCAGACACACAGCCATTGACCAGACGAGGGCCAAAACTAGGGTGCTGGGCGGGGGGAAGATGAGGGTCCTTGCGATCCACTTCCATTCAGACCCCTGAGAGGAGACGGGTTAATTGGCGCTTGGCGTCATCACCGTTCATGAATCATGACTGCCGAGTTTGAGACAGGCGCTGAGCAGATCCCAGCGTTGATTTATAGTCCAATAATGGACGTTTATACATGATGGGAGCATGAAGAACGGAAGCAAGGGCAGCTGTGTAGCCATGCCGATGGAACGTGGAACAATAGGTCAGTCGTGCAACCACGTGGGCCCCTGTCGCTGCACAAATTTCATAAATTAAACATAATCTATCATGCAATTTTCTCCCTGCAACTACAAAGTCTCTAGAATACAGCCCGACTCCCTCATAGGGGCTCCAGGAAAATCGAAAATAACACAAACAGCCAGTCCCAGCAACCCGCATATGATCGAGAATGGACGAAACCGACAAGAAAAGGGGTAAGAAATTGGACGAGGCAAAAGTCATGGCGCCGAGGAATACCAAGAGGTCCGCCACGTCGGAGGCAGGGCGATGCAGCTATACAGAGGAGCGAAAACGAGATCAACAGAAGCGGAGAGTTCGTCCATACCCAGGAACACGGCATAGTTATACATCATGATGACCTATAATGGAGAAGAAAGACCAGGCCACGGCCCAGCGTGAGCCAAAAACACAAGATACTGAGGGAAGCGTCGGCGGGCCAAGATTCTTATGCCGAGTAAATGTGGGCGGACAAGGACAAACGCGTGGCGTTTTATTCGACGCCGTGGTGGTCAGCACTGCCACCTTCGCCAGTGAAAGAACCGAGCTTCAGAGTGGGATCCAGAGCGACCATCTCGGCCAGAACCTCCAGGACTTCCTTGGGAACGGTCTTGTCATATATGGAGATCAGATCCTTGGGCTGAGGGTAGACCTTGAGCGCCTTGTAAAAGGCCAATGCAGCATCAATCTTGTTTCCGCCTGAATCGGGTCACGTTAATGGCCATTACAGCTATCAAGAAATCGGTGATGACATACCTTCAGAGCAGAGGCCCTCGCCCTTGGCGACTTGGCCCATGAAATACGCCTCCTTCTCCTCGAGATCTGTGGGGAAACCATCTTCCTTCGCCTGCTGCAGAGCCTTCTTGATGCTCTCGCGTTGCTGGGCTCCTTGAGCTTCAGCCTCTTCCTTGACAGCGCGTGCCAGTCGTCGGTTGTTGCGCTTCAATGCTTTTCGGAATTCGGGGTCGGTCTGTCTCTTGTGGTCGAAGTAGACGGCGTAGGCTATGCGACGCGAGCGGAAGTTAGAATTGAACAATGTACCGCGATGGAATGGCTCTGAGCTAGTCCTTACCCAAAAGGCCGGTGATGATGGTGCCGGCAGAAGCGACAGCCAGCGTTGAGGTCTTCATGGCGAAAAGTGTGTGGTAGAGACCAAAATGGAACGGCTTGAGAAGAACAGGCAGATTAGAAATGTAATCTAGAGCGATACTCTTTTGATGATGAGAGCACCGGTGGTATCGCGCTGCCTTGAATGCGGACTTCGAAGCTCGTCGGCACTGTGACGGAAGCTGCGATGGGACAATTTTGACTGCCTGAGCCTCGGGATCATCTTTCTTCCGCATCGGGGTTTCTCTCCCCCTTGAGCTCAACTACGACACCTCTCCTACTCTACAGCTCAGCTTTGTCCCTTGCTTTGTCCTTGGTTTCTCATCTCCCGCGCCGTTCTCAACGATGGAAGGCCGGGGACTCACTCTCCGCAGCAAAAACCGCCGCCCGCGTCCTCAAATTAGTGCGCCGAAGCCCATCTCGGGCCCGCTCCCCCAGAACCACCAGGCCGCCGCTTCTGGCACTGGCACTACCTCCTCGGGCTCCGGTTCGCGCGATTTTGCGCCGTCAAACCATGCGACGTCGGACTTAGTCAAGCGAAGATACTCTACCCGCTTCAATCAAGTTCCTGACTTTGACGGTGCTCCTCCGGTTCCAAGTGTACCGCAAGTCCCATCAGCTTATGCAGGGCTTGGACCCCCGCAGCAAAACAGAAGGCCATCAGCGGAACCGTCAGGGCCTCCTGAGGTAGATCTGACTGCTCTACGGGATCCAAGCTTACCGGTTGATCGATGTGAGTGCACTAAATTAGGAATCCGCCATTCGCAGTTGTACTAACTTCCTTCGCAACCAGATGTCACCAACCTGCTCGCGAATGCCTCCGAAGATGATATTAGGGAATACCAACAGGCCCTAAAGAAAGTGAAGAACCGAACTTCGACCGACCTCCAACAAAATGTATACCAGAACCGTACCCAGTTCATCCGCATCAGTCAGGAGGCGGACAAGCTCAAGGGGGAGATGAAAACTCTCCGCTCCCTGATGGCCGAGCTCACTACTGCGTTGGGGCAGACGGCCATTGGGGATTCGCCGAACCCTATGTCTCCTACGGATGAGCGGGCATCTAAGCGCAGTAACCGCAGCTCCGTCGCCAACTTGGAAAGCATGTGGAACGTTCAGCTCCAGACGTTGTGGAAAAGCGTCGAAGGTTCGCAAAAGTTCTTGCCCATGGTCCCTGGTCGACATATCGTTCTAGAGACCGGAAACTGGGCTGAACTTGACTCTGCAACATGGAAGCCTAGACGTCCGGTTCATCTCGTGCTTCTCAATGACCATCTGTTGGTCGCAGCGAAGAAGCGAAAAAGAGTCGACCAGAGCAATCCGAATCACCGCGGTCCAGTACCCACCAAGCTGGTCGCGGAAGAATGTTGGCCCCTGCAGGATATCGATATGATTGACCTGGGTGCCAACCTGGGTACTGGGTCTGCGCGCGAAGACGCAGAAGACCGTGGCATCACCAGTGCTATTAGTGTCCGTGTGGGCTCGAAGCCTTATACATATCGCCATGACAAACGGAATAGCTCTGCCAAGGGGGAACTTTTGGCTACGTTTAGAAAAACTGTCGAAGACCTCCGGCGGAATCTCCGATCCGAGACCGAGGCGACGGGGAAGAATGGCGAACCACTTGGGTATATGAACGCCATAAACTCTAGAAACTCGTTGATGTTCTCGCCGAAAACGGATTTCAGCGAAGATTCAGACAATTCCCGTGACAGACCTGAGGTTCGCATTGACGTTGATGGAAAGCAGCAGAACTTGCGCTGGGTCGACAGCCAGGTTGATGAGCTTGATATTGACATTGCGCTTCAAAGATTCGAAGAAGCTGTCTCAAACATTGACCGATTGCGAAAACTGGCGCGAGGTCTTAAAGGAAATGCTGTCGCACAGGATGTGATCAACGCCAAGGTCGATGAACGAGCTGCCCGACTGGCAGGTAAACTGTCGCGGTCTTTGGTTGATACTCACGCATTTCCGGTAAGGACAAAAACCAACGTCACCTGGCTCACTCGCCTGGGTTTCGAGGATCAAGCTCGAGAGTCTTATCTCAAGGCTCGATCAGAGGTCATCTCTAAGCGAATTCGGTAAGCGAACCGATGACCCAATCAACATTCCTCACTGACTTTGCGCAGCGCATGTATATTCGAAGGCGACCTCCCGCTCTATATATTCCAAATCTCATACGTCTACTTTACCCTCATTAAAAACACAATCAGCATCTACCAGCAATGTTTCCCCTCCTTCATGACAAGCGCCTGCATAAAGTGGGCAAAGCACCACCTCGACGGCTTCAACACCCTCCTAACGCGCCAGCTGAGTAGCGTCCAGCGCGGTACAATCGTCTGGCAGAAATGCATCGATGTCGTACATGAACAAGCTGAGATCTTAACCGAGGTCGGCGTCGACTTCACCGACTTGGTTGCAAAGGGGCTAGAGGTGACAGAGGAGGAGAAAGCTGCGGCGCCGGAAATGACGCGCTCAGAGTCGTTGATTATGGGGTTGGCGGAAGCAGCGAATAAGAGCAATGAATGATACTCCGTACTAATGATGGATGAGTAGGCTTGGCTTGGCTGGTTCGAGTTGCATGTATCTTTTTTATCCACTGTTGGTTTTGATAGCGCAATGTTCATCTGGTATGAACATGAAATGAACGCAGTATAGTCTCCGACTTTATACTTTCTAGACTTCTCAACGTGAATAGCTGGACCGATCTTGGGGAACGAAGCATGATGTTATATTGTACAGTCTACATTTCTCTATCACCCATCTATCTATAACCAATTCAGTATGCTCTATCACAGACTAGATCAACTGTCTTCAAATTGACCAGTATTCGTATACATCCTCATCTAACACCTCCCCCTCCTCCCTCCCTCTGCGGAAATTCTTCCGCGCTCCACTCTTTTCAAACAAGTCCTTGTGCGTCCAAGCTCTATCCCAAACGGCAGGCATGCCCAACACGCTCTTCATATGGAGGTAGCCAAACCGGAAGTCCAGACCAGTGGCATCATCAGGGTGCGCAGAGGGAAGGCGCATATAGTGCCGGACAATATTGGGGACTTCGTAGCTAACGTGGCTGATCATTATGAGGGCCTGTTGGTCGGTAAGACCGAAGTGGCGCTTCTCCTGTGAAAAGCTTCTGGGGAATAGCATCTCTCTTCTGGGTTCTCTACCCGCAACGGCTTCGGTCCATGGGATTTTGTGGCCTGCGCGTTTGGTTGCAGTGGAGTGTTTGTCTATGCGCTCGCCTACTTCGAGGAAATGCATGCATTTGTCCCGGAGGGAGCTGGTCATGCCGGAGAAGGATTCATCGAGAATGACAATGTCCGGTTTGTGGATCATGGCGCGAAGGAAGAGGACGACACGTTGATGCTCCGTGGAGAGCTCACCGAATGTGACGTTGTCTGCAAAATCAATATCGTAATCTATCTCGTAAGTCGCACCTTTCCAAGCTCTTTCGGTTGACGGGAAGTAGTCGCGGTCTATCATGACACGGAGAGGTTCTGCCTTGAAGTTGGGATCGAGTTCCGCTCTGAAAAAGCGGAGGGCAGCGGATACATCTAGATCACGGTCATGACTGAGTACTGGCTTAGAGAGGAAGGTTTCTGCAAAGGCAGACTCGATCGCCTGACGGATTGTGAGCTGGCGGGGAAAGAAGGCGTGGATCTCGGGGGAGGAGTGGCCAATACGGGATTGGAGCTCAAAGAGGGAGATTGGCGGCTTGCCGGGTTCAGGGAGCCGCGAACGGCCAAAGATTTTGATAGGGAGAGCATAAGCTTGTGGGTGGTCGGAGGTAATGAGGGAGAGGAGGGTGGTCTTGCCACTGCCGTTGGGCCCGAGAATTACCCAGCGTTGCCCGCGGCGGACAGTCCAGTGTAGACCTTCCTTTGGTTTGCCCATAATTTTCTGAGACCAATTCCCCAGCACGACCTTGTCGCCGTATTGCACGCGAACTCCGTCCATTTCGATGAGAGCCTCACCCATTCGGGGCGCCTGTATACTGTACTGGCTCTCTTCTGGCGGCGGCACTAATCCCATGTCAAAGATAAGCTGTTTGTCTAGGTAGCCTGCGCGAATGTCGGCTTTAGCTTTCTTCATAATTTGTTGGTATTTGGGCGTTGAGCCTGCCTTGACGGCCATCCTGCCCCATGCTTCAAAGGTCTTTTTGGCCTCTTTCCGGCCTTCTTGCAGAAGGACTCGACCGTGATTTCCGAGAATGAGAAGATGGGTAATCCAATCCGGAATCGGGTCCTGTGGTCGTATGGAAAGCACCAGTCGGGGTTCCGCATTGCTTGCCAGCCGATGGAGGAGTTCCGATATGCCTCTGACAGTTGCCGGGTCAAGGCCCACTAATTGACATGTTATTTTGGCATTTCATACGAAGCGCACGAGTCTAAAACTTACTAAAGGGGTCGTCAAGAAGCAGGAGCTCCGGCCTTCCGAGCAGAGCCTTTGCGATCCGCGTCCGTCTAGTTTGACCGTTGCTCAAGTTTGCGACGGGCATGTCCAGAAGGTCATGTAGGCGCAATTGCGTGACAATATCGGTAAAGTATGCCTCATCGCGGATCAAGCCTTCTTTGTCCTCCTCCAATGGATTAAGCGATGTCTGGCCCCTCAGGTATTGTCGGACGGTCCAGTCGGTCTCTTCCCGTAAACTCTCATACCGAGCACTCAAGTATGCGCCCCTTGTTCCCCCAATTGCCCCTGAGCCCTCACCACTGAAACCAATGTATTGAATTGCATGCCCTGGGTACCGTAACTGAGGGTTTTTCTTCGCAACTTCGTCTGTGAGAAGGTAGGGATAGCTGCGTGCGGTGGGTGGTATACTGATGTACTGGCCGCGGAGAACGTTGAGGAACTGGGTTCGACCTGAAGCTCCGATAACAGCCCAGTGTTGCTGCTGTCCACTAGCTGGGTTGGAAGGAAGAAGGAAGTCTAAATTCGAGAATATTGGGGGGTTTGTGCCTTTGGCTTCATCTTCGGGGGTCGGATAGCTCTGGTAGAAAGTACCGTTTTCGATGCGAATCAGCGGCGGCGCGGAGGGCTGAGAAGAAAGGGCACGACGAGAGAATAAGATGCGGGAGGCATAGGCTGGCCTCGTCCGCAGCGACGGTAATCGTAACATCATCAAGCTGAGTCGAGCGGTGCCTGCCCGTCGCGGTGACTTTGACGCGGTTCAGAAAAAGTCCGGTCTCGGCCTTATTTCCGAGGCTGTTGTCACGTGCCCGTACCGGTACAGCTGGACTCTTCAACAAGAGATGGATTCAAGACATTATCGTCTCATTCTTAAATGGTGACTATGACATTGTCTTGATACAAAGGCAGATGGCGCGCAACCATAAAGGCCATTGGGAGTGGGTGTTTCTCCGCACCGCGGACCAGCTCCGGGGTACAACTACGGAGTATCACTGTACTATCAGCCAGGGTTCTTCATGAACTTCAAGCAAGTGGACGACGATGGCTAATTGACCGTACGACGAACTTCTAGTTTTGGAGGTTTTATAGTCTTCTCTATCATCTCCATCTCGCCTTATCTTTGCAACGTACGTACTCTATCTCTCGCAGGGCTCCGAATCTCCGATTCCTCCCCGACCCAACAGAACTCCAACAGCTCCATAATTCTTCATTCTGTCGTTTAAACCGCCGAATCGCGTGCCTTTCTCTTAAAATGCCCTGCCGATCCTCCATTCAAGCTCAACCCCTGGTGTCCCTCTCCAATTCGCATCGCACCGCATTGCATCTCTCTTCCTGCGCAATTTACAAGCCAACGCAAAGAGTTAATCACCATGTCGCTGGACGCCCTCCCCTCTCTCCCTCTCTTTCTTGAAGCCAAGAAGCATGCGCTAGTCAATCCGGATAAAATCGCCGTTATCGATACGGCCAAGCGCCAGCAGTTTACCTTTGCCCAGCTCCTCGCCGATGCGGCGGCACTGAAAAAGCGCATTCTCGAGCAATTGGACCTCACCAGTACTGGAGACCTGGACGAGAGGCGTGTTACCTTTCTAGTTCCCAATGGATATGACTATGTCGTCACGCAATGGGCTATCTGGGCCAGCGGCGGCATCTGCGTACCCCTCTGTACTACCCCACCATTTTCTCCCTGAGTATACAGAGTACAGTATAGCTAACCGTTACACTCAGGCACTTCCCACCCCGTGAAGGAGTTGCTATACACAATCAGCGACTCAGACCCCTCCCTCATCATCATCCACCCAGCATTCGAGAAATTCGAAACACCACTCCGCGAGAGCACCACCGACTCTCCCCGCCTCTTCATGACCCTCACGCCCTTCAACGCAACCCCCTCCCCCACGCAACTCCCCGAGTTCACCCCAATCTACCACCCCGAGCGCCGCGCCCTCATGATCTACACAAGCGGCACAACAGGCAAGCCCAAAGGCGCAATCACCACCCACAAAACAATCACCTTCCAAGCCCAATGCCTCATCCAAGCATGGCAGTACCAGCCCACCGACCACCTCATCCACGTCCTCCCCCTGCACCACATCCACGGCATAATCAACGGCCTAACAGCAACGCTCCTCGCCGGCGCCACCGTCGAAATGCACCCAAAGTTCGACCCCGCAACAATCTGGACCCGCTGGACAGACCAAGGCACATCAACAATGTTCTTCGCCGTCCCAACCATCTATGCCCGTCTCGTCGACTACTTCGACACACAGATCCGCGGAACAGAGCGCGAAACGCCCGCCCGCAACGGCGCCGCAGCCCTCCGCCTCCTCGTCTCCGGCTCCGCCGCCCTCCCAACCCCCATCAAGACCAAATTCGCCGCCATCACGAACCAAACCCTCCTTGAGCGCTACGGCATGACAGAGATTGGCATGGGTCTGAGCTGCGGTCTCGAAAACGCCCAGCGCATCGACGGCAGCGTCGGTTGGCCGCTCCCCGGCGTGCAGGTCCGACTAACGGACAAGGAAACCGGCGCTGTCATCGACGCTGTCGACGTGGACGGCATGATCGAGGTCAAGGGGGACAACGTCTTCTCCGAGTACTGGCGGCGGCCCGAGGCCACGGCCAAGGAGTTCACGGCAGATGGGTGGTTCAAGACGGGCGACGTTGCGCGCCGGAATGAGCAGGGCGCGTACTTTATCCAGGGGCGGGCCTCGGTCGATATCATTAAGTCTGGCGGGTATAAGATCTCGGCGTTGGAAGTTGAGCGCAAGCTGCTTGCGCTGGATGAGGTTGCGGAGGTGGCTATTGTTGGTATTGCGGATGAGGAGTGGGGGCAGCGTGTTGCTGCGGTTGTGAAGCAGAGGCCTGGTGTAAGTTTCAATCGATGTCTTTATTACGCCCGGAAATGGGAAATGCTAATGGAACTACAGACGGAACCACTAGAACTGCAGGCCCTCCGCACGCGTCTGAAGCAGGAAATGGCGCCGTATAAGATTCCTACTGTGCTGAAGCTCGTCGATGGCATTGAGCGGAACGCCATGGGCAAGGTGAATAAGAAGGACGTCATAAAGAAATACTGGCCTGAATTGGCTGAATAGATAGACCCGATGTCATGATGACTAGAACATTGGCACTGCATAAGGGTATAATAGATATAGACTCGTCTCATGCACAATTAAGCATTAAACATCGAACCATGCCAATTCCCATCTGAGTGATGCAGATAGAAGACTCAAACATCAAGTTAGTTTCAAGGCCTTAATGGGCGATACTCATCCATTTCTCTCAGCAGTCATTGTCAGACACCACCCTCAATCTCCCTTCAGCAAGTCAACAACCGTCGCATAGACCTCGTCGCGCACCTTTTCCCTCTCACTGCCCGGCTTGCAGCCCTTGTCAAACTGGTGCCCACACCCCAGCACCCTTCTAACGATAACCGTCCGGCCCGCCTCCCCATCGCCATCAACAGCCCTAATCCTCTCGCCAAGGTCTTCCGCCTCCTTCGCCAGACAATCGTACTCAGCCGTCACAAAGAGACAGCGCGCCGGAAAGCGTGATGCGTCTGCGTAGGTAGGCGAAATCCGAGGGTCTTTTAGGACCGCATCCGCGCTAACATTATCATCCTTGCCGGTACAGCTGGACGTTGGCCTGGCTCTGGCTTCCGCAACTGCACTTTCCAAGTAGCACGCCTGCATAATCTTCATCAAGCAAGCCGGGACAGAACCCATTCCACCCAATGGCGGATTTTTTCTACTGCCGCCCTTCCCACCGTTCTCCATATCAGCACGGAATGTCTCCATCTTCACCTTGGGGCTGATACTAGCGTCAAGCACCGGGTAAAACAACACCAGATTGGCAAAAGTCCCCGGGGGAAATAAATTCGCCGGAACACTTGCCGCAATGTTGCCGCCCGCACTGAACCCACCGATGCTGATCCTGCTGGTATCGAACCTCTCAGGCTGGGATTGTACCCAGGTTACCACGGAGATAAAGTCCTCAATTGCGCATGGAAATGGGTGTTCAGGTGCGAGGCGATACTCGACGTCGACGACGGTGTGTGCAGCCTTGCTCGAGATGAGTCGGCAGTAGGATGCGTCGAGACCTAGGCCGGGGAATATGAAGCCGGAGCCGCAGGCTGTTATCAGGACGGGACTTGGACTTGCGGTGGGCTTAAGCTTCGGATCGCAGGTTTCGGTTGGTGTTTCTGCTTGGATTGCTGAGGGGGGCAAAGGAGAAGGATTGTAGATGTGGACCTTGATCTCGTGGGTTGGAACTGGAGCTGCTGCTACGATTGTAGTTTCGGACTTGGCCGTGGGTGATGTTGCGGTTGTGGTTGAGAGCGACGGGATGTATTGAATGACATCAGGGTTGGGCTTGTTCTCGATTGCGAGGCGGGCTAAGGTGACGATTATTGCTCGGAGGAGTCTCACGAAAGGTGTTAGGATAGAGAGACGCGTTTTTGTCCAAAGGGTGGCGAGGAAGGCCATGTCGAAGGCGGCTGTGTTGCTGTGCAGAGGAAGGAAGATAGATTGCAGACAGATGGACGTAGATAACGAGCGTAGTAGGGCCGGTACCGGGGAAGACTAGACGTGGGAAGGAACTTGAGGCAAGAAGAAAAGGAAGGAGGGATGTAAGCTCCTGCACAAGAGACAGGGTCTGGTAGCAGATATTCACCGAGCTCTTTCTGTTTACAACTATTAATAGCTCATATATGCTCAATCAACTATACATGTAGCAACGCATACGACTGCATGATTCAATCAGGGTTTAACAACTGTCATAAAAGGCAGTGTCAGGTTCTTGAAGAAAGTGACAGACTCGTCCTCCCCAATTGTCGTCAACTCATCCTGCGAAAGCCCGCAGACAGACGCATAAGAGCCATACTTGCGCTTCTGCTTGGTGACGTACTTGGCGTAGTCGTCGACAGGGCAGCTCTGGCCAGGTCCGGAACGGCATGATGGGACAGCTAGTTATCTTTGTCAGATCGAGTAGGGTGAAGGATCCTACGACGTGCACTTACGGTAAACAGCATCGTTGATCAGGATGCGCACATTGACTGAGCTTCCCTTACGGGCCTTGCAGTTCAGACGCTCAAATGCAATAGTTCCCCTCATGGGTGATGTGCGGCTGCTGACGTAGATCTAGAGAAGTCAGATTTGGTCACGTAAGGTTGGGATATAGCCTACTCTATCGCTATCAATCCGCTTTGCGGAGAGCGGCTTCTGGCTGTCAAAGACGCCTAGGATAGAAGCTAGTTCGTTAATCTGATTGTCGTGGGTAAAGGCCACAATGAAAAGTGGGAGCTTTTCAGACCCAGTGCTCGTCTCAGTGGTGGCATTCGGTCCCTCTTTGAGGAGATTCACAATACCCTGAAGCACTGGGTACTGGACGGTCATGTTCTTGCCGGCACCAGCACCTAGGCCAAATATCAGTCATAATCTATAAACTGAATGAGTCCACGAACCTGTTCCGTAGTAGTATCGCAGATCCTGACGATACTCGTACTGCAGAATTTCCTCCTTGGTAAAGATATCGCAGAACGGGCTTGTGCTCCCAGTGATCTGAGTTTCGAACCCACAGAGGTACGGGAAGATGGAGACTTGACTGTCTGTGAGGGTCAGGTTACCGTGAATGAGTTTGTTTAGCCTCTCCGTGATAGGAGGGAGGTAGATCGAGTCCCAGGTAGTGGCATAATTTCCTCCGCTGGCATCTTTGAAAAGAGGGCACTGATCAGAAGTCGCTAGAGAGTTGCCTGCTGCTCCTGTGGCGTCCGCATTGATGGCGTAAATGTCGGCCAAAGATGAGTTGGGACCCAAGTAACCACGGGCGAACAGTCTACCAAGTCAATAGTGGTCACAACATAGGCGTTATCATAGCTTACCTGGCAGAATCAATTGTCCGCTGGTACTCGTTCGCCCAGAGCAGGAATGGGGTGTTGTCTGTGTAGAATGTTGGGTACCGGAACCGCAGGTCAGCTCCAAGATTGTACCTAGGCGTGAGTTAGCACGTCGGCTTTTCGGTGGCAACAGATAAGGCTCTCACAATTCCTTGTAGCCGGTGATGGACACTTGAGCGATTTGCTGGTCTGGATGGCTCAAGACAGGGCTCCAGTCGGCAAGGAAATCCAAAGACCCGGAGGCGTGGAAGCTGGCAGATTGAATCTAACCACATGTCCTTGTTAGAACTTAATAAGTAGCAGTGCTTGAAAAGCATACCGCTTCATGCAGAGCCTGCCATTCCGCGTAGGCGCCAGGGTCAGGGTATCTGCTACCATGGCGAACGACATAAACGGCTTGGTCAACAGAGCAGCCGTCAGGAATATCAGAAGATATCTTGTTCACATTTGGACCTATCGCGGTCAGTGTATGCTTTGCGCAGTAAGGGTTTGAGCGGAATACCAGCAAACCATGGAGAATTGGCACCCAGATGCTCCAACGGATCAAACGTGGCAGCAAAGCTCGTAGAACCAAGGCTGATCAACCAAACCAAATTCTGCTTCATTTTGGTGGCCTCTCTTGATAGGATGATCTTGGAGTATCGACTAGGAAGAGGGGCGTTTATGAGTCTCCAACTGACGCTTTATACCCCAGACCCCTCCAGAAAATCCGATCGGCTGTAATCCGCCCATGGTCTTGATAACGGAGACTCTACCCAACGTAGAGCCAAGATGGACTATATAATCGCTAGACGCGGACGGTGAGAGCGATGTTCAAGTCTGAGTCGTGGAAAATAGATTAAGTCTGTCGAATATGCGCCGTTCAGCCACCGAAAATCCACCACGTGCGGCTTGGTCGAAATGAAGGCCATCAGCTTCGGAGATACGCAGCATCTGATGCCAAAGTACCGGCCTTCTGCCCCAGTTCTAGAGTAATCTCCATCCCGTCTTGAACTTTCACGTTTGCGTCCGGTTGGATGAACGAAGCCGGGTATAAGCGAGTCATCGGTACAGGAACCCCAGCCCCAAACCACCTGTGGCAGGTACCATGTTCTAGTCAGGGGCTAGGCTAGGAATCTGACCATGGCCAAGATGTTATTTCCTCTTGTCCATCCTCAAGTCGCTTGGCCATAAAAGAGCTATCGCGTAAAGCAAAGGATGATTGCAGTCCATCGGCGAGAAATGTCTTTGCCCCGCCACGCTAGGATGATGTCAATCAGTCAGATTTGAGATGGAGTCAAAAGCAGATCCAGGCTGCCCTGACTATATATAAGGTAATAATAGAATTGACTTCGTTGGACAAAAGATAGACGGTCTCCGCAAAGCATGAGGAGGGAGGTTGAAGCTGGAGATGAAACACGAGGCTGCTTTACGGTATGGTAGTGAGCAGCAGTGATCGAGCGAGCAACAATCCGACTCTCCACTGCTAAGTTCTCTTCAGCTTCATAAAGATTCAGAGTGATGTGTAAATTAGATTATTTCTTGAGATCAGAATATTGTACAGTCAGTTATTTTTTCCAAGTTGACCGGCCCAGTCCAGCTGCTGCCATGCACCGCCAAAGCCTCGTAAACACCAAAGCCAGTCCCAGTCCCAGTCCCAGTTCCCAGTCCGAAATGCTAATCCAATCCAATCCCAAATCCCAGTCCCAATGCCAATGAATCCGAATCCCAGAAAACGCTCAAAATGCAGATCAAAAAACGAAAGAAACAAAAGAAAACACAGAACACGCAAAACACGCAAAACACACACATACGCCACACATAAACCACACAAAACGCACAACACACAACACACAATACACATACCACATATACATCACACATAACATGACCATAAACATAACGGAGTCATCGAGTTCATGAAGGAAAATTCATCTAATCTACCTGACGGGCTTATAACATTTGCCTCGCCAGTGCTACAGGTATATAAGTCTGCATAACTTTTGGACATAACATCGACCAAAACAACAAAATATGGAAAATACAGTCGTCGCCGCGGAATAGAGAGGGATTGCTCGCTGATTCTATAATGACATAGATGATGAAGTCGCCCAAAACATACGTCTAAGGCGCCATGATCAATGCAAGCAAGGCCATCCGGCAGTAGAGACCGTATCTCATCTGTATCAAACATTAGCATGTCGCCATGAAAATGGGGACGAAGGGAAAGTAGACTCACCTGTCGGAAGTAGGCTGCCCGCTGGTCAAAGTCAACCTCCTCGGAGACTTCGGCGTTTCTGGGGAGAGGGTGCATCACGACCATGTGGCTCTTGGCGTGCTTGAGAAGAGCGTTGTCAATGATGAAGCTGTTCTTGAGGCGCTCGTACTGAGCAAGGTCGGAAAAGCGCTCCTTTTGCACACGGGTGGAGTAGAGAACGTCGGAGCGAGCGACAATCTCGGGGGTAAGGGTCTCAGACTCGGCGAGCAGCTGGCCGTTTGCGACAAGCTGCTGGCGAATGTCCGCGGGCAAGGACAGGTCCTTGGGTGCAACGAGCTGGACGCGGACATCGTAGAACTGGAGCAGCTTGATGAGCGAGTGCACAGGGCGTCCGTACTTGAGGTCACCGGTGAAGGTGATGATCAAGCCACCAACAGTTCCAAGTTCCTCACGGATGGTGAAGAGGTCGAGGAAGGCCTGGGTAGGGTGCTCAACACTGCCGTTTCCACCGTTGATAACGGGAACAGAAGAGAACTTGGCAGCGACCTCAGTGCTGCTCGGCTCGGGGTGGCGCAGGACAACGGCGTCACCGTAGCAGCCAAGGGTACGGAGGGTGTCCTGGAGAGTCTCGCCCTTCTTGGTGGAGGAGTGCTCGGTGGAGATGGCAATCGTGCGTCCTCCAAGCCTCTGCATAGCAGCGTCGAACGAAGCGGAAGTCCTGGTGGAAGGCTCGTAGAAGAGGGTGCAGAGAAGACGGCCCTTGAGGATATCAAGGACACCCTCACGCTGGACACCGAGACGCATCTCTTGCGCCACGGTGAAAAGCAGGTGAAGGTCAGATCGGTTGAACTGGTTCACGGAGAGCACGTGCTTTTGCTTGAAGGGAGAACGAGAGAGCATCTGGAGCAGCGGGGAGGAGGCGCGCGGCACGGGAGTGTACAGCGGAGGGCCAAGCTCGTGGCCACTGGCGGCAGGGAACTGATCCACAGGCTTGCGGGCCATGCGAGCAGGGGTGCCGGCAATGGAGATAGACTGCCTGCGGTCATCGACGCGCGGGGACATGGTCTTCAGCGAGGGGGACGCAGGTACGATGCGGTGGCCAGACATGTCGGATCCCTTGGGAGCATCGGGAGTAATGGCACTGTCAAGGCAAGAAGTCTTGCCCTGGAAGATGACGCGCTGAACAAGGCCCTTGACGCTCTTGCCGTTGAAGGGCGACCAAGCCTGAGCGCTCTGGTAGAGGTAAGGACGGTCGATCTCAATCTCAACTGAGCTGTCCGACTGGTCGTGGAGCTCAAAGATCTTCTTGGGGTTCTCGTACAGACGAGCAATGATGTCCTCCACGGTCAAACGGCCCTCGGAGACGGCGGTGAACAGCAGAGGCAGCGCCTCGGCGATGCCAGCAGCGGGTGATCCCTTGTCACCGGCAAGCTGGTAAGGGATACTACCGATAGAGAAGATATCGATAGTGCTGAGGTGCTCCCACAGAGCCTTTTGGTCTTCCGCAGTGGGCAAGAAGGCCGCCTCGGGGTAGTCATCCCGAGAAAGGAAGAGGCAGTAGATCGAGACATCACAGGTGACCTTGAGACCCTTTTCCTTGCTGAGGGCGATGAGCCTGATGTCCTCCTTGGAGGTGACGCTCATGACGTGAATGTTGCGGCTGTGGAGACTGGCCAAGAGCAGGACAGAAGCAAGATCGGTCGACTTGGCATCTGTGATGATGGGCTTGCTCGAGGGCCATGCGCCGAAGTGGCTGGTGACAGCGGCAACCTTGCTGATGTTTCCAGAAAGGTGGTTGAAGGGGATGAACAGAGAGCCAACCTCGCCAATCAACTGTCCGAGCTCCGCAGAGTTTGAGGATGTAGCGACAACGGAGAAGTTGTAGTCGCAGAAAGAGCCCTTGGCGGCATTCTGCTGGACAAGCTTCAGGGTGCGGGCATCCGTGATGGAAGAGTTGACGCCAACGGGCATGACGCGGACCATGCTGAAACCAGCGGCAATGGAAGCCTTAGTCACAGCCTCAAAGTCCTTGCTGTCTGCGCTTCCAAGACCAGGAACAAAAGCACCGATGTTGATCAGACCAGGCAGGATGATTTGACGGTGGCTGGTCTGGTAGTCGATAGTCTGGACGTTAAGCGCAAAGTGACGGGCAATGGCCTCGATCAAGATCTTGGCGTTCTTGACGTTGGTAACCAAGGGGGTCTGGTAGTCAACGGCCATACGACGAGTGCGGTAACCCTTGCTCATGTAGTTGGCAGGTCGGCGGAATCGGTTGCTGGAGGGCAAGTTGATGTAGAGATCAATCAGGTTGTTGGCCAGGTGCTGGGTGAGCGAGTACTCGGACTTGATGTCCTCGTCTTCGCCAGGGAGAATTTCAAGGTACTTGACGGGGACGCCGTTCTCCTTGAGGAAGTCTGCAGTACCAGAGGTGGCGAAAAGCTCGAAACCAACATCGCGAAGCTTGATGATCGAAGGCAGCATCTCCATCTTCTCCTTGTAGGAACCAATGGACAGCAGGATGTTGCGCTTGGGAAGCTTAAATCCGGTGGACAGCAGGGCCTTCAGGTAGGCCTCGTACTTATCACGACCGAACGAGGCGACCTCTCCGGTAGACGCCATCTCGACACCCAGGACAGGATCGGCACCAGCAAGTCGAGAGAACGAGAACTGCGGAACCTTGACACCGACGTAATCCTTGGGGATGGTGACAGGCGGGTACTCGGCGAAGGGAGCACCAATCATGGCCTTGGTCGCCATCTCAATGAGATCAACTCCCATAACCTTGGACACGAATGGGAACGAACGAGAGGCTCGGACGTTACACTCGATGACCTTGATGTCGTTGTCCTTGGCGATGAACTGGATGTTGTATGGACCAGTGACATTCAGGGCGTTTCCGATCTTGCGAGTAGCCTCTTCGATTCGTCGAACAGTCTCGGGGTCCAAGTCCTGGGGAGGGAGGATGAGGGTAGCGTCACCAGAGTGGACACCAGCGTTTTCGACGTGCTCAGAAATGAAATGGCCAACCATAACACCATTGCGAGCAACTGCGTCCATCTCAATCTCCTTGGCGTTCTCAATGTACTTGGTAATGACAACCGGGTGTTCACGCGAGACATCGGCAGCCTGGTTAAGGTAGCTTGCAAGATCGTGCTCGGAGTAAACAGTGTTCATGGCCGCACCTGACAGCACATAGGAAGGTCGAACAAGCACTGGGTAGCCGACCTTGTCGCAGAATTCGCGGGCCTCCTCGATGCTGGTAAGTTCCTTCCAGGCAGGCTGGTCGACGCCAATACGGTCAAGCATGCGGGAGAACTTGTAACGGTTCTCGGCTCCATCAATCATCTCAGGCGAGGTACCGAGGATGCGGACGTTGAGGCGGTGCAGGGGAAGAGCGATGTTGTTGGGAGTCTGACCACCCATGGACATGATCACACCGCTAGAAGACTCGAGCTGGTAGATGTCGAGCACGGTTTCCAGGTTGATGTTCTCAAAGTACAGACGATCAGCCTCGTCGTAATCGGTACTGACAGTTTCAGGGTTGTAGTTGACCATCACTGTCTTGTGTCCCTGCTCGCGGAGGGTACGGATAGTTCTCACTGAGCACCAATCAAACTCGACGGAGGAACCAATACGGTAGACTCCAGATCCCAGGACCATAATGCCGTTGTCATCAAACTTGACATCGTGCTCGGAGGCGTTGTAGGTCAGATACAGGTAGTTAGTAACCGAAGGGAACTCAGCCGCAACTGTATCGATCTGCTTGACAATGGGAATGATACCAGCCTCGACACGCAAACGTCTGATGGCCAGCTCGTTGGAGCTCAAGAACTTGGCGAGCTGACGGTCAGAGAAACCGAGCTGCTTGGCCTGCCGAAGGAGAGGGGCAGTGACGGTGCTGGCGTTGAAGGTGGTCATGAGCTTGCCAAAGTCACTCAGACCCTTGAGTCTGGTCAAGAACCATTTGTCAATGTTGGTGAGTTTCCAGATATCATCGACGCTGTAGCCGGCAGCCATGGCGTTGGCAATGGCAAACAGACGCTGATCGGAAGGAGTCTGCAGCTCAGTCTTGATAGACATGAGGGCGTTGGTCTCGTTGAAGCCAAGGTTGTGGAAGTCCACCGACCGGATGGCCTTTTGAATAGCTTCTTCGAACGTTCGGCCGATGGCCATGACCTCACCAACACTCTTCATGGACGAGCCAAGCTGTGTGGAGACACGAGTAAACTTCTTCAGATCCCAACGAGGGATCTTGACAACGCAGTAATCGAGGGAAGGCTCGAAGCAGGCACAAGTAACCTTGGTAACGGAGTTCTTGATTTCATTGAGCGGGATGTTCAATCCAAGCTTGGCCGCAATAAAAGCAAGAGGGTATCCAGTAGCCTTCGAAGCAAGCGCGGACGATCGGGAAAGACGGGCGTTGACTTCAATGATGCAGTACTCCTTGGAGTAGGGGTTCAGAGCGTATTGAATGTTGCACTCTCCAACAACGCCAAGGTGACGGATGACGTTGACAGCGGTCGTGCGCAGCATGTTGTAGTCCTCGTCAGAGAGTGTTTGAGACGGGGCAACGACAATAGAGTCACCGGTGTGGATACCAAGGGGGTCAAAGTTCTCCATGTTACAGACGGTGATACAGTTGTCCCTGGCATCACGAACGACCTCGTACTCGATTTCCTTCCATCCCTTCATACTCCTTTCAATCAGGACCTGGGGACTGGCAGCAAAGGCCTTAGCACAGAGCTCTTTGAGTTCATCCATGTTATCAGCGAAACCACTTCCAAGACCACCAAGAGCATAGGCAGCACGGACGATAACGGGGAAACCAATGCTCTCAACCACTTGCAAGGCCTCTTCGAGACTAGAAGCGGAAGCGGACTTGGCGCACTTTTCGCCGATAGAGTCCATGCTGCGCGCAAAGAGCTCACGATCTTCGGTGGTGATGATGGTGTCAATCGGGGTACCAAGAACCTTGACACCGAGCTCCTCGAACTCATCCTTGAGCTGGATACCAACCTGGAGGGCAGTCTGACCACCAAAGGTAACGTAGATGGCATCGGGACGCTCGTGCTTGATGACCTTGCGAACGAAGTCGGCGTTGACCGGCAAGAAATACACCTTGTCTGCCAGACCCTTGGAGGTTTGGATGGTGGCAATGTTGGGGTTGATCAGGACAGTGTAAATTCCTTCCTCCTTCAAGGCCTTGATAGCCTGACTTCCGGAGTAATCGAATTCACCGGCCTGACCAATGCTGAGACCTCCACTTCCAAGGATCAGGACCTTCTTGACAGAGACACGGGGAGAAGCCTTGGTGTTTTCGGCGACGGTGCCACCGGGAAAGTTGACAGGCTTCTCAAGGGCTTCAGGTGAAGCGATAGTGTCTTGGATAGCGTTGATGAATACGTCGAAGAGGTACTCTGTGTCACGGGGACCGGGTGTGCTCTCAGGATGGAATTGGACACTGAAGTAAGGGCGGCTGACGTGGCGGATACCCTCATTACTGCCGTCGTTGGCGTTGACGAACAGCTCTTGCCAGTCGCTGGGCAGAGTGGAAGAATCAACTGCGTAACCGTGGTTTTGCGAGGTAATGTGGCACTTGCCAGTCACCAAGCTCGTGCAAGGGATGTTGTGACCACGGTTACCAAACTTCATCTTCAAGGTTTGAGCGCCAACTGAGCGGGCGATCAATTGGTGTCCAAGACAGATACCAAAGATAGGAGTCCTTGCCTCCTGCATGGTCTTGGCCAGGTTGTTGACTGTGGTAGTCATCGTAGCAGGGTCACCGGGACCGTTCGAGACAAAAAGACCATCGTAGTCCTTGCCAGCAAGTGTGGGGAAATCATAGTCCCAAGGAACAACGAGGACCTCGACGCCGCGGGCAAGCAAGCAACGCAGCTGGTTGAACTTGAGACCGACGTCCAAGCACAGAACACGGATAGGGCGGCCGGAGGGGTGCTTCAAAGCAACGTTTTCAGGAGGGGAGAAGAGTTTCGGTTCGCGGATGGACACTGAGAAGTTAGATTTGACATGAAAAGATGGAATTGGTGGCTTACCCTCAGCAACGAGGTTCTTGGTGTTGGGGTCGACCCAGTCAACCTGTTCAAAGGAAGACTTCCAAGTGTCCTGAACCAGAGCGGCATCGCTTTCAGCAACGTCGGCCTTGTGGAGCAGCAAGCGACCAAGCATGCTACCCTTTTGGCGGATGCGCTTGGTCAGGGCACGGGTGTCGACACCGTGAATGGCCGGAACACCTTGCTCCTTGAGCCACTGGCCCAGTGATGACTCGGCAAGGAAGTGAGAGTAGTTCTCTCCGGCATATGTCGCAACGACGAGGGCCGCAATGTGGATTTCGGTGGACTCGAAGTGCTTCGGTAATGTCTTGAGCAGCTCGTCCATGGTCTCCCGCGAGGGCACACCATAGTTGCCGACGAGAGGGAAGGTGATAACAAGGATCTGGCCACGGTAGGAGGGATCCGTGACGGACTCTGGGTATCCCACCATACCGGTCTGGAAGACCAGCTCTCCTGCTACACTCTTCTCAGCACCAAAGTTGTAACCCTGGTAGACTGTGCCATCCTCAAGCTCGAGCGCACACAGTCGCCCTGTGCTGCCTTCAATCCTTGAGGACGCAGGAGCAATGATGCCGCCATTGGCGGTTTCCGTTGGGGGAAGGGGTTGCAAGTCTTTGCTAATTGCGTTGTACGCAACGGCTCCTCCAGCCTGGGGGCTCGAGGGAAGAGCCGGCTCCTCGTGGCCGACGGTCTCAGGCATATTGTCGATAGTCGTGTGCGGTGGGGTTATGAGGGGGAAAATGGTCCTCTCGGGGACAGTGTGGTAGGTACTCACTCTACCGTAGCATCAGCAGCCTCCAAAACTCTCCTTGAGCGACAATGGAAGGCAAAGAGAGGGGTATTTTTGTTTGCTGCTTCAGCACGGGGAGGAATATAGGAAGAAGAGGAAGAGGGACTCGGACGGGCAAGAAATGCTGGACGGCAGAATAAAAATTTTGAGATGCGGGCAGAAGGAGCTTTCCTATTGGCTAGCGATTTCACCGACCTGGGGGAGTTCGACCGCTGGTAGAAAATTCTTCTCCGATTTTTGGGGCTTGCTGTGGACGAAATTACATAATTTTGCCTCTGTTGAGGGCTTTAAGGTCCGATTTAGCTGCTATAAAAAGAGGGATGCGTCATAGCTTGCCGTGTATTTGATGCTGAACCCCAAGTATACTACACTTTCACCATTAAGCCTTCCCACTATAACTACTTGGTATGCCAGTTTGCAGAGGTAGAACAGACAGCACCCAAGGTGCTTTCACCCTGTTCTCAGGGCATCTTCAGGCTCCGAAGTCGGGAAAAGGTCAACCCAGGTCGAAACAAAGTGGGAAAAGCGTGGATCGTGAACGAAGGTTAAGGTCCAATTTTGCAGCCTCGAGCTCAGGCTAAGCTACCCGACCAATCAGACTCGTTACTTGACCCAGTAATAGCAGGCGGTGAAGAAACCTTGAAGGCAGGCTTCAGCTGCACGATTTTCCCGCAGCCCGCGGGCTTGTGACCTTGGCGTGGATTTTAGATGCTCTGTTCGCTCGGTCTGGATTCCGCTCACGATCCAGGCTGTCTAGGAAATATAGAACTGGACAGACAATTCAAACTGACTCAAACCAATCAACTTGGGTATGTGCTTTACGAGTTGACTGACATTTACAATGGTACTCCAATCTTATATAAGTTCAGCATGTTTGTCCGTAAAGAAGGCAGTACTGAGTGGATGAGGTCCTCTTATCATTGCGGAGCAGAAATATATACTGTAACCAGAGCTCGGGAATAAACATTGACTAGGAATACTTCTAGCTCGTCCATTACAAGTCAAAAAAAATAAAAAACCTACAGTCTTCCAGCTACAATAATTCCGAGTACTATCAGCTCGTAAGAGAGTGCACCAGCAAGTTTCAAGTCTTTGACGCGCATTCGGCGGCTCTTTGTTGAAATAAAGAAGCGGCCAATTTAGCGTCATGTACAAAGTGCTCAGATGATGTCCCGTGCGTCATTCCGCCACGAGCTTGGAAATTCAACGGCTCTGCAGCTGCACTTTGCAAGCTTAAGATCTCCCCCTCCTCTTCATTCCACCTGCGAAACTCGCAGTGCGTTATTAAAACAAACGAATCGCCAGCAGGCCCGGCTCAAATCCGTCGTCCCATCCCTCCGAACCCTCAAACCCTCGGCCCAATCTTGCGATTTCCCAGATTTAACAAACGATTCGAACAATTCTTCGTCAATTTTCGACCATGCGTTAAAAGTTGCTTACATTGTCTCGTCGCTTGTCTGCTGGGAGGCGTTAAATCATGCTTGCCTCTCTTCTTCGTCCCAAGAAGCGACGAGATCACGCGCAAAACACACAGTTCGCATCACCGTACGCTACCGACGAGTCGCGATGGCCATTGCTGAATGGAAACCGGGGATATAACGGGCAGGGAGATAATGACGAGGAGAGCACTGAAGATGAAGATGCCGACGGGGAAGACGAGGACGCTCCCATCGAGTCCACGCCTCTTCTTCCGATTTTCTCAGCTCCTCACCTAGGTATGGATTTTTCGTCGCTTTTGCTGATTATGCTTATCGGTTGCTCCTTCAGACGCCCTACCTATTTTCGATGTCACACGTTCCATTCGGTCACTGATCATTGCGCGGTGTGATGTCAATTTGTCCTGGGAACAACTGCGCTCGCCCCAGATATCGCAGTTTCTGGTGAAACCCATCCAGCAAAAAATCAAAGAAGTGCACTTCTCTAGAGCCACTCTATACGCACTGATGACAAACTGCTTACAATTTGACCGGGAAGTTCACTCGAATCCTGGAAATAGTGGAACGAACCAAACAAGAGCGATGGTATGCGAACTTATCGCTATCAAGCTGCTCAGAGACTACACTACGCGCGAGTTGATTGATGCTCTGTCGTACGACTTTTATCCCCTTCAGGGGCAAAAGGTGGATGACAACAGATGGGCATCTGCAGGCGGAGGTAAACCGCGTCCTAGTGCTGCTCGAATATCATGCCTTGAGATTGCCATTCGTGCCCAGGCGAAACGCTTCTTGTCGCATCCTTTGGTTATCAAACAGCTCGAGGCTATTTGGGCCGGCACGATTGTCTTCCACTCTGTCGCGGATAGCCTTCATCGCGCATCCGCACAGGCTCGAAACCCAGTCTCTTACGGTGCCACTTCTAGCAACAATACCCCGAGAGTTTCAGACAAAAGCGCCTCCGATACATCACGCCTACGGCGGTCTGTGACACTCTATAATCCGCGTGATGCTTCGCCGTTTAAGCTCTCCCGTTTACGAGTTCCCCGCTATAGGCAATTTCTCTCTACGTGTTCTTTCGCCGTTCTTCTTTGTCTTTTCCTTGCCGTTCTGCAAGAGCGGAGCATTGGCATCACGTCACTAGAAGTTCTGTTCTGGTTCTGGAGCGCGGGGTTTATGCTGGATGAATTAATCAATTTCAACGAGCAAGGCTTTAGCCTCTATCTCATGAGTTTCTGGAACATCTTTGATATTGGCATTCTGGCGCTTCTATTTTGCTTCTACTGCATGCGGCTATATGGTGCTGTGGTGCCATACGCACCCAAGGAGGCAGTCGCCGAAAGAGCGTACGATATTCTGGCTGCAAATGCAGTGCTTCTCTTTCCGCGACTCTTTTCGGTGCTGGATCATTACCGTTATTTCTCACAATTGCTAATCGCATTCCGAATCATGGCTTCCGACCTAGTGGCGGTCTTTGTTCTGATCATTATCGCCTGCAGTGGGTTTCTGGTGGCCTGTCTTAGCATCGGCCAAGATGAGACTCCGGGGTCCGTGGCGTACGCCCTGTTCCAGATGGTCATGGGCTTTACCCCTGCTGCATGGACGCTTTGGGACGAATATGGTGTCCTTGGAAGGGCGATCTTGACCATGTTCCTGTTTATATGTCATTTCGTGATCATGACTATACTCATCACCGTCCTCACAAATTCCTTCATGAGAATTGTACAGAATGCCAACCAGGAACACCAGTTCTTGTTCGCCGTCAATACAATCTCGATGGTCAAATCTGATGCGCTCTTCTCATACGTGGCGCCAACGAATATCTTCGCCTGGCTCATTACTCCGCTTCGATGGCTGATCCCGTTCAGGCAGTATGTGCGGCTCAACCGGACCATTATCAAAATTACACACATGCCAATCTTGTTTACGATTTGCGCGTACGAGAAAACGATTTTAAGCCCACAAATGATTGAATCTACCGACCTCATCGATTCCTCTACTACCACAAATCGTGCTCCTCATCGATTGAGGGGCTTGAGTACGCGTGTATCAAGACTGATTCGAGAACCGTCTGTGGCTACCTTCCAGCAAGACCGAGCCTTGGCCGAAGTGTTCCGTCAACCATTTGGCGGAAGATCCAACCGGAGCCCTGAGAGAGCCATCGACAAGAAAAACCACCTAGTTAACCATTGGATGCAAGGCATGGGTTCTGGCCCGGTTAACCCACCCGATGAGCAAGACTCTGATGTAGTTGACCGACTTGAACGTCCCAAAGGCCGCTTCCCCTTTCGACGGAGACAAGCCCGCAGTCTTCGTGACTTTACAGTCTCTGAGACCGAGGATCATATACCGCAAGCAATCTCCTCTCCTGTCACACCGCGCAACGGGAGGAGCGTGCTACCAGAGAGGGCAAGACGGCTCTCTCATCACACGGACATTGAAGGTGACAACGAGCTTACGAGCGATGACAATGCTATGACTGAACAAAGGTCGGACCATAATTCTAGCAACAATTCTGGCCATAATAGGACTGTGGCCCAGGGCAAAGCTACGCCGAAATTCTACAGTTCCCGTCCGTCTACAGCAAAGCATAAGTCCCGTAAGAACAGTCCAAACCGATTTTCTCGGCATCACTCACGGCACCCGTCTGGTGCTACAATTCTCTACAACCCCATATCATCAAGTCACGATGGAGAAAGCGACACGGTATCGCCCTCAGTCCGACCTCGAATCATACCAAGTCACTCATTTTCCGTGGTATCCATGAATCGCAACACACTGGAAAGACGACACAGTCTAGATGCCGGCAGAACCCTCAACTCAAACATATTCCGCTCAAATCCCATGTCAGTGCCGAACATCGGTAACGTCATCGGATCCGATCACGGTAACGGCCACGGCCACGGCTCATGGCATCACGAAGCATCCGCACTCGAGGGCCTCGGCTCAGACCTAGGTGATGGCAAGGCCATCGCCAACGGATTTGTTGGAGGCGCACCCTCGAGCTTCACCACGCAAATGGCGTACGCAACAGGCGGCATCCGACGCAGAGACAGCCCGAACCGAAACCAGGATCTCCTCAGCAAGCTCGTTCTGGCCCGCATGAACAACATTGAAGAAGGATTCCGCGAGGTGATCAAGGAGGTTAAAGACCTCCGGTCTAGCCGCAACCAAAGTGGCGCTGACGAGCAGCGGTCTGGCCAACGAGACAAGCAGAAGAGGAAGAAGAAGGCTCCTGGATCGAAGAAGAGTAAGACGAGTGATGGGACTCGCACTGCGGAGCCCACTCTCGCTGGAAACGGCTCGGATAGCGACGCAGACGATGATGTATAATGCTTTGCTTTTTGTTCTGCTATGCAGGGCAATGTTTACTATCCGCTCCTACTTTGGATGTTTGTTCTTTCTCTTACTATTGTGTATTATCTTGGGTGGATGTCTCAGTATGGTTTTCGCCTTTACATTGCTTCACTTACTAGACCGACTGCCGGCTAGACGATATGCTGTATGTTTAACGAGATTTATGAGTGTACGCTTTAAGACTCCTTTCCGTCATGCTTCACTCTCTCAAGCCCTTCATATTCTAGATACCTAGGCGAGGTCTCATAGAGAAAGACCATGCAACCACAGATGATGACTATCCGAAGTAAACCCCCCGGTCCGCAGATAAGAACATTTGAAAATCGACTGCTTTACGGTATCGTTCAGTAATAGGTCAGTGTCATCCGAGCATTGAACCCGCGTTGGATAGACCAAGGTCCATAGACATGGTGGCGGAAGGCAACACACTTCTGTTTGGGAATACACTTTAACATTGTACCGTACATTGTCCTGGTTATTTTACATGAGTCAGGGGTCTCTCAATTCAATAGGCATACCGTCTCACATGAAGATACCCTAGGCAGCAAGTGTTACTCAAAGCGCTGGGCAAGGCTGATCCGGACGATTCACTGCAACTTCCAACCAACCATTTGCATTTGAAGGCTGACTAGCTGGAAACTGGAACTCACACTCAGCCTCATCTGCATATTTCTTCTTTCATTGTTCTCTTGTGTTTCAACCACGGCCAGAGTCATCAACTAGAGCTTGCTATTTTGGTTTTCTCTCTTGAGTCAACCACTGCTCGCTTCACTCCATTCATCATCTACTCTCCTCATAACACCTGGACTCAAGCTCTACATTATATCGCGGAGATTCAATCCGACCCTGGGCAACATGAGTACTTCCGGGCTCCGTGAGCTTCTCTTCTTGGAGGATGCCGACACTTTGGCTGTCATCGACCTTCCATCGCGCGCTCCAGCTGGTTTCCTACATCCTAGCTGTGCTCTTTCAATAGGCCACCGAATTCACAGCTGGAAGTTACTGGAAACAGGTTCCCCGTTCTTCCATCGACAGTTCGATCAGAAGACGCAAGAACGGAATATAAAGCGGCGCGGGGGCTTACCTGATGGCATCAAATACATTATTGACTTATCCCCTGCCACGACAGACGAAGAAGGCCTCCTCACTATAGCGGAGCTTAGTTGCCCGCTCGGTTTAAGAACATGGGCCGATGCACAGGTTCGATGGTCCCTTCCTACAAGCTTGGTCTCTGGGTTTGAGACGCCGGGTGACGAAAAAGATGAGAATGGCTACCTTGCCGAGTACTCGCCTGACAGACACCGCGCGGGCATTGTTCACATTCTGCGAGTGATTGAAAACCTTAACGTTGAGCTCGATACCCCCTGCAAGCTTTGGACGTTCTTCGCTGTGGCGAAGCTGTACGAGATAGCGACGATGCCTGATGTTAGCGTCCGAGTTGCGTCTTGGGTTTATGAGGACAATAATCGGCGCCTTATAGAGGTCCATCCGGAGATCACTTATCGACTAGGGAAGGGTATTGAGTGCGCACATCTTATGCAGGATTCATACTGTGTTCTGGCTGGAGAGGAGGCTTTGCTGCTTCTGCACGATTCTGGCGCTCCTACTCCCAACAAAGCAAAGGTTACTGTCCATGAGAGAGTCCGAGAATCCCTGGATGATGATGACGAAGACCGAATTCAATACGCTGGCAAGTCACTCCTTGCCCATGTCATTGAGCAATTCGTCGAGCTTGCGGGGAACGAGATGCTCTGGCTGCATGAATCAACCGAAATCCAAAAGGTTCTTTCACGCGAAACACAGACTCAGCACGCGTTGGAAATCAAACATGACCTCATATCCACCTTGAAGGACTTTGTACGGACTTCGATTATATCGGTTCTTACCCAGCAATGGAAGGCTTCGTTTCCAACGGACACTTGCCAGTCTAAAACCTACCCTAGAAATGATGTTCTGCATGTTTATAACAACTTGAGTTTGACACAGCGCTTAATGACGAGAACGTTCTGGACACGCCTCAGAGACAAAAGACTCACCGAGAATGCTGGCTCCGGAGAGGCTGAAGTGCTTCAGGGCACCTCCCTTCCTTGGGGCACCTCCCTTGCCAGTCTCGGCGGCAATATTGGGGCTTTTCGTGACCAGCACGACGCGATCATCCGCCGCGTGAGAATGACAGAGCTATGGGAGAAAGCCAGTGCATTTAATTGCCTTGTCAACAGCATCCTCCCTCAAGAACACCAGAAAAAGTACTTCGGTGGTGGTGACGCATATGGACAAGAGGGAGCCTTCACTGTTGCTCTCTTCGTCGACGAAGCCGATCATCTCATGCGGCAATTTGTCAAGAGAATGTGCGCACCGAGACGAGAGGGAATGGAATACAACTTCACGGATACTCTCACCGGCCTTACCGAAAAACAGTATCGGTTTCTTCCCCTATGGGCTGGAGGCTGTGATGATGGAACTGGTGGCGTATACGCAGACCAAGTTCCGTTCGCTGAGGCGGGTGGTTTTTCTACCCCGGGGCCTTCTATCCATACCGGCAGTGCTGCGCCCTCAACTGCACCTTCTATCACTTCCTTCCTTGAGAGCACGGTCCATGGTGCGTCCCACAGAGCTACCGAGGGAGCTTCCAGTGAAGTCATCTCTCTCGATTCAGAAGTCATGTCCGAGGCAGACGCAGCCTCGGAATTCGAGTTGGTGGACGAAGAGCTCTCTCTTGCGCTAGACTCTTCTGCAGACGACTTTGACGATGATGCTTTCGATGATAGCGATAGTGATGACACAGTTGTTTTGGACCATGGCCATATCGGTGATCTCGGCGAGTTCGAAGAACTGAGCTTGGACGACAGAGTAGTGAAACTTCCGATTAGAGGAAAGAAGGATGCTACATAGCGAAGAATAGCTAAGCTGGTTCGCTTGCCGAAAGAGTGAGACGAGCTGATGATGAATAATGCCCATGATACCAATGATGAGATTCTATGACCAACTTCTCGCCTGCATACTCTTAGCTGGCCTACATATAGGCACATCGGTAGACAAACTGCACGTTGAAATGGCATCAATTTCCTGATACCTGGGCAATCCTATTTGACAGCCAAATCAATAAACCATGATCCATAATTGGCAGTAGAAGCACAAAGTAAAGAAGAAAGACGTCAACATTCCGGGCACTTTTGCTGAGAAGGTATAGCACGTGATAAGGCGGAAAGTCTTGGCATCAACGACGTCACGGCATAATCTCTCGAGTCTCGAGTCTCGAGTCGCTCAGATCAGTCGTCTTCTCCGGAACTTTCACGCGGCTGGCCTGGTTAAGTTGGAATTGCGTCGGAATCCAGCCTCCCACAATGGCCTCATCATCTAAGCCCACGAGCTTTCTGCTCTAGTAGGTTACCTCAAGCGCTGCTCCAAGCTCATGCGATTCCTACACCCCTACAGACCCAATTGACAATCACCTTCAGCTCCTGCATCGCGCATCGCACAACAATTCTCGCCGAACACTCTGCCCCAGGCTCCTCCACAACAGCTGCCTCGTCTCTCGCCTCAATCATTCTCCCCAAAATCAGCCATGAACAGTCTCAAAAACTCACGTATACCCACGAGCGCCTGTTCGTGCACTACATCTCCGACTCCCCCTCCGGCCCAGCAGACTCCTCAACCTCCGAACCCTCCTCCTACGCCCCCCTAAGCTACATCGTCGTCGCAACAGCCGAACAAGGCCGGCGCATTCCCTTCGCCTTCCTCCTCGAAATGAAGCGCCGCTTTCTCTCAACCTACCCCCCCACAGCCACAGACTTCGCCAGCTTACCGGCATACGGCTGTGCGGCGTTCAACAATGAGCTCCGCGGTCTTCTACAGACGTTCAACACGGCGCCGCCGGCAGATTCGCTAGCCTCTGCTAGGAAGGAGATCGATAGTGTGCGGGATATCATGACGGAGAATATTGAGAGGGTGCTGGAGCGCGGGGAGAGGATTGATTTGCTGGTTGATAAGACGGATCGGCTGGGTGGGAGTGCGCATGAGTTTCGGTTGCGGAGTCGCGGGCTGCGCAGGAGCATGTGGTGGAAGAATACGAAGCTCATGGTGCTCCTGGGGGTGGTTGTCGTTTTCCTAATCTATCTTTTTGTGGGGATGTTATGTGGGTTGCCGGGCTGGGGGAGCTGCGTTGGTCGATGAACGTGGAGTATTACCTTATTACCTGACGGTCTCGAGGGCTTGAAGGACGGGTATCTTCCCGGCGTGATTAAGGCTCTGTAGAGTCCTAATGCAAGCTTGGGTTGTTGGATAAATGGGGTTTTCCTGTATCTTATGCTTACGCCTTCTCTTCTCATGTCTTCTACCAGCAGCTTTATATTTTCTGATGATGACGAGAATCTACGACACGCCATGTCTTTGCGGCTGAACTCCTATTGACCTGCTAGGTGGAAGCATGAAGCTCATCCGGACAGCGGCTGAAAAATATTTGCTGATGTTTACCAATTTATTGAAGAGCTTCGACACTACTGAAAGTAGAAAATTGATGATATAGATTGACATTTCCATTGCATGCTATATGCCCTCGAGCCCACGAACTACAATCAAACCTTACAATCTACAAGAGCATGTATCTCACTCTCAAACTCGCGGCGTCCTTGCTATAGTGAGTAGCTCAGGGCGAGTCTGCAAGCGAGGCAGAGGTAATTCTGGAAGTCCAGACTCTGCGGTTCCTTCTACGCCAACCGTATACCTCATCAATCATGGTAAAGGGAAAGATGAGGAGATAATTTGGCGAATGTTGGGGGATGGGGGATGGGAAGAAAAAGCAAGCGGAAATAACAGAGGGAGGCGGGTTCGCAATCGCTGCTGCGTTCGGGCACGTTCGTTGTCGTTGCGATTGCGATTGTGATTGCGAGCCGGGAGAAGAGAAGCAATTGGAAACCCCTTCCTTTTGACCTTTTCAATTCGTTCGTTGTCATTCATAAAGGTGGTGCGCGAATGGAAGCCATCTGGTCTGGTCTGGTCGTAGCAGGTATATTTCTTTTTTGATGTTGCTCATTTAAGAGAATCAAGATAAGATCAGATTCAGCAGGATCTCATTGTACTCCCACGCCATTCATCCATAGAAACACAAAATGCAAGTTCCAGTCCCAGTTCCAGTCCCTTACGCGGACTTAGCCTTGACGGCCTCACGACCCTTGCTGATGCGCTCCAGAATCTGCTCACGGTCCTTGTCGATCTTGAGCTTGGTGATGACGACCTTGGAGGGGTGGATGGGGAGGGGAACGCTCTGGCCGTTGGACTTCTCGCGGACGACACGCTCGACGTGCACACACCACTTCAGACGGTAGACGCTGGTGATCTTGCCCTCACGGCCCTTGTTGGTGCCGCGGACAATGGTGACCTCGTCGTCCTTGCGGATGGGGATGGAGCGGACCTATATTTCATACCCGTCAGCTGTTGCCATTGTTTCCCATTCCCGTCAAATTCTTCGATGATTCTTTTCCATTTCTCGCCATCGTTCGAATTCGCGTAGGAATGGAGATCGTATTCAAGGGTGGAAGGGCGATAGGGCGTACGTTGTGCTTCTCACGGAGTTCCTTGGAGAGAGGCGCGCTCATGATAACGCGGCGCACGCTGGAGGGAGCGTTGAAGTGCGCCTTGCGCGACTTCCTGCGCGAGGAGGAGATTGCTATTCGAAGAATCCATCAGCATCCATCCTTGATATTCCTGGCGTATAAACAAGTCGTCTGGTCGTATTCGAACAATCCCCCGACTAATTCACGGCGCACAAGAACTGAACAACCAGAGCGAGTCGACAGAATTTCCGTAAAGACGTACCCTGGTTTGTGACGGCCATTTTTGCAGAGCCTCCTTTTGATATATGACCGGACTCTGGAGAAAGGGTCGTGGTGTTGTCGTCGTTGTCGTCGAAGGACTTCTTTTTTCACTCGACTGGGCTCGATGGTTAGCCGAAAATGTGGGCAGTGGAAATGTGCGTCACATGACGTCCCGCTAAGGCTAGGGCTGGCGGCTGAGGTTTGATTGGCTGGGGTACTGCCTCCTGGGCCGTTGACCGCTTTCCCAGACTAGCCGCGTACGTTCATAAGCTGACTAAAGCGTGGCTGGAAAAGATGAGTCGCGTCTGGGACCCGTGGTATCTGCGCCAGGATCTCGAAGTCGCGCGCTGTCGCGGTCCGCCAGGGAGAATAACGCCAGGAGAGCTCTATATGAAATTAACGGCAAGGTTATTTGCTTCCGATTATACCCATCTTTTCTTATCCCACCCCCGTGATGCGCAGCTTTACCGGCTCTTCACTCCGCACTCGAAACAACCTTCCCCTCAGCGTCGTTGACAATTCCGTGCACGAGCTCCCCTCAGTATGGCCGATGAACAATTTCCCTGGCTCGATTGGCCTCACCCTCAGAACTACGCGCCAACGAACATGAGCCAAAATACCCCTCGCGTCGAAGAGAATTCAAATTCCCACTGGCGAAGCCCCTTCTATAACTCGTCCTCGAATCCGAACGTACAGACCTCAGTGAACACCAACAACAGCAACAATAACACTCAAGCTCAATATTACCCAACATATCAACAGCAGGAGGAATCATACGTGCGTCTCGAGGACGTATTGCCGTACCCGTCGTATCGGTGGGGACCGCCGCCGGCTCGTGAGTACCAGAGACAGGCGACCTACGCTGAAAGTCAGGGGTCAGGATTGCCCACGACTTCACTTCCACAGCAATCTCCGAATCGCCCGACTAGTCGCCAGCTGCCAACTCCAATGCCGCAAGCACAATCGGGATCCGGAGAGTCGAATGCGGCTGAGGAGGCTTACTCTGGACACGATGCCAAAAGACGAAAGGTGGAGGCGTCAATCTTACAAACTGCCTCGCGGGCCGTACCCAAAGTAGCGTCGCCTGTTTATTCGCAAGTTCGAACACCGGTTGTCCCACCAGATAGTCAAACTTCGAACTACAATACAACCCAGACGCCTAACCCTCCCATCTCGCAGCCTGCAGCGCAACCGGCTGTTCAGCGTACCTCCCAGCTGACTCCACAAAGGCCCGGCTCCCAATATGTTGCGCCGACCCAAGCGCGGCCAACAGCACAAGTACAACCTCAACGTACTGCATCTCCAGCAATGCAAACACAACGGGTCTCTCAGTATGCGCCGCAGGCTCAGCAGAAAGCCACCCCAAGAGCTACGTCAAGCTCTAGTCCGCAGATCAACGCGCAGCAGCTGTCTCGGCGCGCTTCACAATATGCTTCGCCGCAGACCTCATCTCAGACTCTCCCAACTACTGTCGCGCCTTCGGCTACGCAGTTCACAGCGCAGCAACACGCACAGCCCCCCTCACAGCCTAAATCACAGTACGCTTCGCCAAACCCACCGCCTCAGTCTCTTCCCCAGACAGTCGCGCCTTCAGATACACAGATTAGGCCGCCACCGCCATATATTCCACCTTCTAGACCGTTCCCGCAAATGCAGGCCCAGGCTCATCCGCAAAACTCTCGACAATCGGCCCCGCAGCCGGCAAGTCAGGCAACATCCACCAACAAACAAGCAACCGAGCCTGCGACCAAAGCTGCTTCCCAACCCGCCTCTCGACCTTCGACTCAACAACCTACCTCGCAGTCTGTTCCACCCCCAGCAAAAACTGCCACACCACCCGTACCGCAGCAGGTGCCGCAGACTTTACCACATCAAAGGCCCCCGTCCACTCAAACAGTCCCATCTGGCCCCGCTTCGTCTCAACCTCAGCAGCCCGCATCGCATCTTCAGCCGCCTGGCCCTCATGGAAGATTTGCAGCCTACACGTTCAAACCCGAGAACCCTTCAGACAGAACGCATTTGAAACGCCGTTCAGATATAGTGAGCAAATTAAACGAGGCGGACGCAGCCCAGAAAACTGCGTATGAGCCGCAGACCATTGCCAGGGACATTCTCATTGCGGCTGGCCGTCATCCCACAGAGGCCTGCCTGAACCATCATCTACTTCGCCTGCGTGATGTTTTTACCGCGGTAGACATGAACTCGGATCTGGCGACGTTTAAATGGGATCTAGTCGACCCAGGCCACCCGTCACGTGAAACGCTGGCGAAAGTCGCCAAGCACAGAGCTGCTATGCAAACCAAGCAAACGGCTCCACCGCCCGCGCCCGCAGTGCAAGTCGCGCTGCCCGTCAACAACACTTTCATCCCGCAGCAACCAAGCCAAAGGCAACACAACCCCTCTCCGCCAACCTTGCAGCACGTCCAGCCGCCCCCGCCGCCGCCGCCGCCGCCGCAGCAATCAAAATTTCGAGTACAGCCACAGGTTCAGCTCCAAAGTCAACAGCCAGTGCCCTCGCCCGTTCCTCAGCGGGTATCGCAAACTCAGAATACACCCAGTACGCCCAATACGCCCAATACGCCAAACTCAATGGAGAAGAAACGTCGTGGAAGACCGCCTGGGAGCACAAACAAACCCAAGGTTCCTGCTGCTCCAGTCGCGCCGCCACAGCCTACTTCGTCCTATCCTGTCTTTGCGTGCCGGTGGAACAACTGTCAGTCGGAGCTACACAACCTCGATGTACTCAAGAAACATATCTTCAAGAGCCATGTTTCACATCAAATCACCTGCGGCTGGAAAAACTGCCAATTCACGGGGACCTTGCCGGCTGCGGAGCTGATGAAGCACGTCAAGAAAGAACATCTAGATTCTCTTGCGTGGAAGCTGGGTGACGGGCCAGCTGTGGCTACAAGTGGTGAGAAAGCACAATGATTGCTTTTCAAGCAGATTAAACAAGTACATTCAATGGTTCTTGTAGTTTATTAACCTCTTCCCAATCCTGGGATCTAGTGGATCTGGATTCTAGCTCAAGCACAGTGCCTTTGACGATTCCGGAATCCAACCAGCCTGGAAACGAAGATTCGCTCATCTTCCCTGCCGACTACCGTTCCATTCGCGCCTTTAACAAAGTCCACGGAAACAGTTCGCAGCAGGAAAAGGCTCAGGAGATCTTTAGGGCAGTACAACGGCTGAAGGAACATATTGGTGTCGGTCTCGATCCGGGTGGCTGTGAGCTAGCGAGCCCTTTGCGCAATCAAAGGGTGAGCACTGAGGAGGACGTTTATGAAGTGCGCTCGGCATCTTGAATGTTTATTCTATTTGGGTGACGCCGAATTGTAGTATGCCTTGCATTTGCGTGCCGCAGGGACTGGCGTCCAGGAGTTATACTTTATCGACATATCTTTCAGCAAGGACTCGGTCATTTTCTTGTTTGTATATTAATCCACAGGACATTGGGATATCTAGAGGCTCGCGCTCAATAATCCGTCACGATAACAAATAAACTGGTAGATGTTTGCTTTCAATTGCCGAACAGGTAGAAATCCACATAAAGTATGAAGTACACATCAAGCCGTTTATCGGTCCTTGCCTCCGATAGTCGCTGACGAACCGCCCGCGGTCGCCGTAGTAGCTGCTGTGCGAGAATCTGTGGGGCCGCCCTTAGAGCTCTTGAGTGTAGTGGCAGCCTCATCTTCGTCTTCTTTGGCGTTGACTTCTAGGAAGTGGTAAAGGACGATCAACATCATTGCGCAGGAGCCGAGAAAGACGGCGAGACGGTGGAGCTCATTGTCGGTAATCATTGTGAAGTATGCGCTAGCCGAGCGGGTGGCCGAGATTCACGTAGAATTGGGCGTCTGGTATAGGGAGACTAATGCTCGTCGCTGGATGCCACGTTGGTAGTTAGCAAGGGGAAGGCGAAAAGGAGGGAAGCACTGGGCAAGGGTTGCAAATTGATTTCTTACCAGACTGAGCACAAGGAAGCACTGCGGAAACAAGGGCGATTATAGAGGAGATTTGATTGTACCAGAAGGCCTGGGGATTAGTCGTCGTCAACGCCGTGAGACGTCTGTCCTAATCGGGTAGCACAAGGAAGTAGCACAAGGGTATAATTACATAATGATTCCCAATACTTCGGCATTATTTCAACGGCGGGGAGCTTCCTCCGATCACTCCAACTTTACGTTGCAACCATCGTACCATATCTCGTTGAATGGCCATCCAGAGGACCATATAAACTCTCCATCGTCGTTGCGTCTGGACCCATTTAGGAACGTTGTCGTGTTCTCATCAATCTTGTCTAACCTCAAAGTTAGTCGCACCCAAAGAGGGTCGGATTGCTGCAACGGCCCGGTTACAAATTTGGCTGGTGACAAGCCTCCTGAGCAAATCCGATCTACTCGCCGCTTAATACCGTTGTCCAGGCTTTCATTCCCATTCTGAGCTCTCTCCGACTTTTCCTTCTCGAATTGCTAGACGATTGCGGCCGCTGAAGCCTTTTTACTTCTTCCTGTGTCATCCCCGCATCTCTGGTTTGGTTCCGCTTATCACGGGAAGTTTATCACTGTCCCTCATACTTTTGGTATACAAGAGGGGCGATCGGCCTTGTGCTTATGCTCCTTGCATATATCCCGGTTTCTTCATCGCTACATTTTGCTGAAGAAAAGTCACCATGAACGAGCACTATTTACCTGCAAAGGCCTTTCCCGCCCAACAACAACCACCGCGGGCTTCGGGCCCGTCTCTTCTTGCCTGTCTTCTATGTCGCCATAAACATCTTAAGTGTGATGGCGCCACGCCTGTGTGTAGCCGTTGTGCGGCCACCGGCGCAGAATGCCAGTATACCCCGTCGCGCCGCGGATACAAAGGTCCCTCGAAGAAACGCCGGGCCAATCCCTCCTCGCCCGAGCAACTGCCGGCTGATCTTGCTGCCACTTTTGATCCCAACCTTGGCTATTACAATGTGCCTGTGGACTGGATGAACCCTTATCCGTATGTACCTACGACAACACTTGCTCACTCAAGCTCTTCGGGGAGTAGTCCTCAGTTCATCGAACAACCTGGTCCTCCGCAGCAGGCAGTCGTCAAGAACGCGCCCTTGACTCCTGAATCATCATCTTCACTTTCGAATGATGGATTCCTCGTCGACATCTACTACCAGAACTTTCACCCCTCACATCCGATTTTGCCTCCTATCAGGGTGCTCTATCAAAACCGTGTGCCGCCTTTCCTTGAGCAGGTTGTCAAGTTCATTGGAGCTCATTTCACCCCCGCCGTATCGAGTGAAACTTATCGACCCGGCATTATGGCAACTGTCATGGAGCAGGAAAGGTCGATGGAGAAACTTCAAGCACTTCTGCTGCTCGCAATTGTCCTCCATTCGCGAAATGAGCGTGACAAGGCCAAAGATTGCATCATTACTGCGGTTGACATGGCCTTTGAACTCGGTCTTCACACTAGGGATTTTGCTACCACCATGGGCGGCGGTGACCCCCTAAGAGAAGAGTGTCTGAGGCGGACATGGTGGGAACTGTTCATCATTGAGGGTATGCTAACGGCACTCGGTCTTCAAAAGACTCCTCGAACACATAACGTGCCCCTCGAGGTGCCACTTCCGTGTGAGGAACGAATCTACCAAGATGGTATCGAGCCTCCGCCGCCGCCGACGATCGCGCAGTTTGATGAGCGTGTCTTTGCCGACGAGGAACGGGATTTCTCGTCTTATACATATCGAATCGAAGCGGCGCGAATCCTCGGGCGAGTCGTGGCCATTCAAGACCTGGTTGAAGGCCAACAGGACCAGGTGGAATCGATCGACGCCCGGATCACAAGCTTCTTCCACCTCCTCCCAGAGTCCAAAGCGGAGCTTATGCGGCCTGACGGAACCGTAGACGAAATGATGTTCCAGGCCACAATGGTCGTGAACGGCACGGCGATCTACCTCCACTTCCCGCGTTCGGACCTGCTTTCATCCCCGGCCGTCGCGGCCGAAGTGATTTGCGGGCACCACGGACCATGTTCCATCCCTGCATTTTCGCACCACTCCCACGCGATGAAGGCCGTCAAAGCCGCCAGCGAAATCTCATCGCTCGCCTCTATCCGGATGCCCGTGGTCAAACACACGCCGTTCTTCATCTGCTCGCTTGTCATGAGCTCGATCGTGCAACTTGCCGCTTGCTCGGTCAAAGCAGGGCAGATGCCGGATCCCAGTCGCGATCGCTTGGCGCTGACCATCGGGGTGTTCAAGACCTTGTCAACCACCTGGGCGATCTCGCAGTCGATCATGCGGCAGATCAAAGCCGTCGCTCGGGATGTCATGGACATGGGCTTACGGCCGACAATGGCGATGGAGCAGATTGATTTGAATACGGTTCTTGACAACAACGGCCGGTTCTGGCTTGCAGAGGCCCTCCCGAGGTAGAGACGTCTTGGACATTTTACTTTCCATGCAACTCTTCTTCTTTCTCGGTTGATTTGTCTCGTTTCATGATACCCATCCATAATGACGATTTACTCTACTCACACTTTCCGTTTCTTTACACTAGTCAATACTGTCCCCACAAGTTCATTGCATTGCGGCAGCGCAACCCTCAGGCCTTCTTGGACAGCCAATGCGTCCTACCTTCCCTGTCTGATTGAGTTGGAGACAATCGGCCTCCCCGCATCTAGGCCTAGCGAGAGCATCACAATGATAGTCCATCAATTAAAGGGAATGCGAGGGCGGAAACCGCGAATCAATCCACCTCCACTGCATCCATGCGGGTTTATCCACCACTACCCGGCCGAGCTGAATGCATTCATATTCCATACGGCGTATTCGCCCCGCAAACGAAGCGCCCGGGAGGCTAGAAATAGAATACCCCGGGCGACTGGAGGTACTTTCTGACACTGGATGCATTCCACTGCTCGATTGGTTGCGGTGCCATCAGTGGTCTGAATGTGGACCTCCAATGTGGAGGTCCTTTGGCTCTGTTCGGCCAAGGGATATGCTAGGTGACGTGTGTCCGCGCTTAACAAAGCACCTTGGTTTGGCTTGTCTATACCGATGAGGCTAGGATCGATTGGATCTGCGGCCAACCCCAAGACCAACCCCGCATTCAATCCGGGGCTCCCGCAGCTTCCCCGCTATGCGGAACTCTGTTGATTCATTGACCACCGCTAGACTGTCTTGGTTGCTCTTGCCTGAATCAGTGGTGAACATGTACCTAGATGCTCCTGGCTCCCATGGGTTGTCTGTCTCTGTTATGAGTGATGTTCTTGCTGTTTTGCTTGCATATAGAGGATTCTAGCTTTCGGTTATCATCATACTACGGCATTGGCCCGTAAGCTCCAGCTGCCGGGCTTATCTCCATCTCCACCGCTGCTCGAGAGGTATCAACATATCTTGGAATGCAATAAGCATAACCCCGCAAGCAGGATCTAGCGTGCCGGCATTTCTCCACCTGTGGAGCGCAGGGCAGACGTAGTTGACTACGAAGCGCCGTTTACCCTGATAATTGTGGTCGAATCTGTCTTTCAACCCTCAATTGGGAAGAACATGCTCTCTTCTAGCTAATACTCTTAATCTGCTGGGAAACTTTCCCGGGTCTCGTAGCTCAGAGGGAGAAAATGATAGCCTGTAAGTACAGCCATGCTGGATCTGACGCCCAGCAAAAGATAGTCCGGGCTGTTACTCACTAATGTCGATTCTCGTTTTAGAATAAGAGGGGTCGGTATCCTTGGCTTGGTTGGAGACTGAACCGGAATGAGGAGGCATCGTCTGCAACTCTCTCCAATTGCCTTTCGCAGCTCGCAGCATCTTCCATGGGATATTATCCGGATCTCACCAATCCCCTGGGCTTATGCTACGTATATTTCCTCGTATCAAACCTTGTCTCCGCATAATCCATGTCTGGGATTGCCATGGTACCTCTGCTAATCCACTAGATAGCTGAGCTTTGCCCGATCTATCCGGCGAGCAGGGGAGCTGTATGGGTCTAGATGTGCTGGCTCCAGCTGGCCCAGGGCTGTGCAGTGAGATCTCCGCTTTGTATGTCCTTCCCCACGCGCGGGGTTAGACATCCTTGCGGTTCAGGATGCAGGATGAAAGAGAGCGCGAAGAGCAAGCGGGGAAGACCGAGTCCACAGCTGTCCATGGCAGGTCTATAAAGACCAAGCAAATCCCGGGGCAAATCCCAGTCTTGCTTCCATCTCTCCCAGATCAGACCTCAGAGAGAGGCATTGCATCGTTCTGACCTCTTGTCACCATGACTATCCCCGAGGAGGTCGACATCATCATCTGCGGCGGCGGCAGTTCGGGCTGCGTCCCTGCTGGCCGCCTCGCCAACCTCGACCACAACCTCTCCGTGCTGCTGATCGAGGCCGGCGAGAACAACTTGAATAACCCATGGTGAGGCTTCCTTGGCTTGGCTGGTGGCGGTCAGTGCTGATGATGTCCAGGGTCTACCGCCCCGGTATCTACCCCGTCAACATGAAGCTCGACTCCAAGACCGCCTCGTTCTACCACTCGCGGCCGTCCGAGCACCTTGACGGGCGTCAGGCTATTGTCCCTTGCGCAAACATTCTCGGTGGCGGTAGCTCCATCAACTTCATGGTACGTTGTTACATCTATAAGCCTAGGTGTTTGTGCTGATGACATGTAAAGATGTACACCCGAGCATCAGCCTCCGACTACGACGACTTCCAGGCCAAGGGCTGGACGACCGAGGAGCTGATCCCTCTGATGAAGAAACACGAGACGTACCAGCGCGCCTGCAACAACCCGGAGATCCATGGCGACTCGGGACCCATCAAGGTCTCTTTCGGCAACTATACCTACCCGATTGCGCAGGATTTCCTCCGTGCAGCCGAGTCTCAAGGCATTCCCGTCACGGATGACCTGCAAGACTTGAAGACGGGGTCCGTATTCTCATCGTATATGCGGAGCTATTCTGACGTTTCGATAGTCATGGAGCAGAGCACTGGCTAAAGTGGATCAACCGAGACACCGGTATGTCGTCTTGTGTTGAGTTCTACCTGACCTTCTAACATAACCTAGGACGCCGAAGCGACGCAGCCCACGCCTACGTCCACAGCACTCGCGCCAAATACTCCAACCTGCACCTCCAATGCAACACCAAAGTCGACAAGGTCATCATCGAAGACGGCCGCGCCGTCGGCGTCGTCACCGTCCCAACCAAGCCCCTCGACGGCAAGGAGCCCCAGCGCCGCATCTTCCGCGCCCGCAAGCAGATCATCGTCAGCGGCGGCACCCTCTCCTCCCCTCTCATCCTGCAGCGCTCCGGAGTCGGTGACTCGGAGAAGCTCCGCCGCGCAGGCGTCAAGCCCATCGTGCACCTCCCCGGCGTGGGCCGCAACTTCCAGGACCACTACCTGACCTTCTCGACGTACCGAGCCAAGCCGGACGTCGAGACCTTCGACGACTTCCTCCGTGGAGACCCCAAGGTGCAGAAGCGCGTGTTCCAGGAGTGGAACATCAAGGGGACTGGTCCCCTGGCAACGAACGGTATCGACGCAGGCGTGAAGATCCGCCCGACGCAGCAGGAACTCGACGAGTTCAAGAAGTGGCCGACCCCCGACTTCGTCGATGGCTGGGAGACGTACTTTAAGAACAAGCCGGATAAGCCGGTGATGCACTACTCTGTTATCTCTGGGTATGCCCTGCTTACCCACAAGTACAATTTCCCTATGCCTACCGCATCTGCTAACACTAGCTTGCCTACAGCTGGTTCGGCGACCACATGCTCATGCCCCCGGGGAAGTTCTTCACCATGTTCCACTTCCTCGAGTACCCGTTCTCCCGCGGCAGCACGCACATCACCTCCGCAGACCCCTACGAGGTCCCGGACTTCGACGCCGGCTTCATGAACGACAAGCGCGACATGGCCGCCATGGTCTGGGGCTACATCAAGTCGCGCGAGACCGCGCGCCGCATGTCCTCGTACGCCGGCGAGGTCACCAGCATGCACCCGCACTTCGCGTACAACTCCAAGGTGCGCTCCGAGGACATGGATCTCGCCACCACAAAAGCATACGCAGGGCCAAACCACTTAAGCGCGGGTATCCAACACGGTACGCCTCCTCCCCCCAACCTACAACGAGAAAACTAACATGAGACCCCCGTAGGCTCCTGGTCCCACCCCCTAACACCAGGAAAAGACCCCAAACCCAGCACGCTCAACAGCAACGCCTTCGCGTCCCGCAGCGAACTAGACTACAGCCGCGAGGACATCGCGCACATCGAGAAATGGGTCGAGCGCCACGTCGAAACAACCTGGCACTCGCTGGGGACGTGCAGCATGGCGCCGCGCGAGGGGTCGAACATCGCGCCGCACGGCGGCGTCGTCGACGAGCGATTGAATGTCCACGGCGTCAAGGGGCTGAAGGTCTGCGATCTCTCGATCTGCCCGGATAACGTTGGCTGCAATACGTTTAGCACGGCGCTGCTGATTGGCGAGAAGTGTGCGGTGCTTACGGCGGAGGATCTGGGGTACTCTGGGGATGCGCTGAAGATGGAGGTTCCGGAGTATCATGCGCCGGGGGAGGTTGTGAATTTGGCGAGGCTGTAGGGGCTCTGGATTGATGAGACATGAGACAGAGTGAGATTGGATATTGGGTGGGAGAGTATGAAGTACCGTATGTGACTAGCTTGGTAGCTTTTTGCTTTCAGATATGTGCATTCTAGGTTATGTTGTGTTATGCATCCTTTGATTACAGACCACTATGATCGGGAATGTACTCGTAATTATGATGAGGTTGGATTCCAGTCCCTTGGATTTCCCAATTTGATTCTTTCTATACTCTTTGCAGCGTATGAACGTAGTCTCAGCGGCTGATAATGACCGATTCCTCCGCATTGCATGCCCATACAGCCCATACAGCCCCTCAGCCCACCTCTCCATTAAAATTATACAAATTCCGTAGTAGATAGCAGAGCTAGACAGGTGTAGGTAGCCGCTCCATCTCATACAAAGATCAAGGGTTCCATGACCACAATGACGATGCAGAACACCCTTTGCATCTTCACTACATAATATAACCATGTGCCATGTGCGGCGGCAGTATACAAATACAAGTTCCAATCCGGCCTACTCTGGTAAGCTCTTAAGCTCGTAAGTCCAGAAGTTAGAGTATGCAGATGCAGATGAAGTATGTCCCTAAGCTACAAACCACCAAGTAGCCAAACCGCAAACGGATGCAACGCTGAGTGAATGCACGTAGGAATGGAGGACCAGGCCTGCCCCAGAGAAGAGAAAGACAAAAATCCTGAAACAATAGCCAGCCGAGCAGATAAAGTAAAAGTAAGGAACGAAGTGTACAGTAGTCCAATGTCCAATATAACCACCGCCCAACCTAGAAACCTAGAAATCGAAAAGCAAGTAAGGAACGACAAGCACAAGCACAAGGGCCAAGGCACAGTGGTATCAAGGTAAAGATGCGACGATTTTGAGCTCGAGCCGAGTTGAGCCTACGGGGCCAAAAAGAAGACAAAAGACAAAAATAAATCCCATGTCCATGCTATGCCACGCTCTTCCCTAATACTAATATAATAACAAAATGCTAGCAAAAAAAAGAGCGGATGAATGATCTATACTACATATCCTTGAGCGCCTCCGCGCGCCTCAACACGACGTCTTCGGGTCGGACCACGTTCCGTAGGGCCTCGCTCGCCTGGATGAGGCCGTCGATGCTGATAGCGTGGTTCGTCATCGAGTGGTTGATGTACGTGTATAGTTCTGCGGGTGTGGAGCAAGTCGTTAGGAGTTGTTGCTCGTTGAGTTTGAGGAGGGCGAGGGCGACTTGGAAGAGGAATGTGCTGCCGCTGCCGCTACCGCTTGTATTTTCCGAGTTTGTGTCTGTTGACGGGGGCGTGCTTGTAGTGTCTCGGATGATGGATGGAGAGGAGTTTGAGGCGGGTGCGGCTGGCTTGTTTACGACGCTGGCGACGTCAAGGCAAAGGACGACATCCCAGACGCGGTAGAGTGCTTCGGCGGAGAGACAGTCGGTGAACACGGAGAGGAACCACTGGAAGGTCAGGGCTTCGAGTTCAACGCCCAGACCTTCCAGGTGAGCGGAAAGTTTGGGTAGAATCTGCGAGATGTACTGGCGCAGAACTACCTGGTCGGCCCGAGACGCCAGGAGACCATGGTCATAGTAATGCTTCGGTAGGATCTTCTCAATCATGGAAGCCAGTAGCCAGAAGGTATCTTCTGCGGTGGGCGTAATGAGAAGCAGCGAACCGGCGATGAGGTTCATGCCTTGGCAGTAGCCGACCTCGGGATTGCGGCGCGAATAAGCAAGAAGGACTTCCTTGAGCTTTGTGACGCCGGGACCTTTGCGGAAAAAGACGTTGTCTGTTAGGGTTCGGTTGATGTCCATGTCGATCTGGGCTACGACCGAGTCGTCGGGATCAGTGCCACCGATTCCTTTGACCAGATCATCGTAGTATCCAGGGATTCGCAGTGACGAAGCACCGCTGCATTCAGACCAGATTTTGGATCGTAATGCGACTGGAATTCCGCCGAGGACGAGATTCCGGAATTCTCGCCACTTCGCACGGCCAACCTTGCCTTTGTTGCCGAGACCAGAGATACCCACCATCTCGCCGTCAGCTAGGGACACCTCCGGCATATCCACAGCCTTGAGCGGACGGTCCGACGCCAACGCCGCCGCAGCCGCAGCCTCTCCTTCTTTGCGGCGCTCGGCGCGTACCTTGCGGAGAAATTCGTTCCAACGCACAGTCCGTTCTCGTTGCAGCCAGTCGTGAAGGTCTGTCAGCTGTTCAAGGAGCAACTTGACAGGCTCATGATCCCCACCCGAAGCAATAGCTGCCACTTCATCCGCCGATGATCCAGCAAACTCCGGGCGATCTGCGACAACCGCAGACGTGGACGCTGATGGCTGAGTATTTGAGTTGACAGACACCGAGCCACGCTTGTCAACGGCGACTACGTTATTTCGCGGCGCATCCTCGCCTGTCGTGAGGGACACTATAGGCCCAGCAGAAGGTGTATGCGAGAGCAGCTCTGTCGGTACGGACGGTATCGTCAAGTAGTCTTGCCACCGTTGAGAACCTTCCGATTCACTCGGCGAAGCTGGGCCGGAGGAGCGAGAAGATCCAGCAGTCGAAGGCAGCCGCTCATGGGCAATAGGCTCGTCAACATCCGGAGTATCACTTCGAAAGGTATCCAGTGTCTCTGCGATACTCAGTCGGTTATGCTTGAGCATACTAGCCTCCCTTTGTCGCCTCTTCCGACGCTGGTCATAGATGAAACCGAAGCGGTCTGTTAGAAGCTCACCACCAAGGTAGTTGTTATAAAGAGGCGAAAGAGTCGGAGGCCGAGACTCCATCGGGTGGATAGCGTCCATCTCAACCGGACCGAGATTGGTAGGATTCTTCGCCGCGACTTCTGCGCCTGTTCCTTGCGAGATACTCGAAGCTGGTTGTCTGCGGGCAAGTTGACCAGACCTGGGGGCCGTCCCTGAACCATTCGGCCGCCCCTGGGCTCCTTGGACGCTCGTATTACTGTTTATCCGCCTGAGCGCCGCGACGGCCGTCATACCATGCTTCGTAACAGGCATTGGAGCAGGGCCCCGATTCCTCTCCCGCTGCGTCGAAGAAGCTCTCCCCCGATTTCTATCCACGGGACTCTCATCCCGAGACTGGTTTCCGGCAAACAGCTTCATCGTCCAGGACGACACCGATCGTGAAGATTTCCGCGAGTGCATGCTGGCATTATCTGCCGGTTGACCTTCAACAGGTTGCTGAAACAACTGTTCGTCCAGCGGTTTCCGTCGGTTTGGTACGTTGCCAGACGGTATCTGTATAGAGCCATCCGCCTCATCCTCTCCAAGCTCAGATATGATACTGCTCGCTCGACTCGTCTTGCGGCTGTTGGCGGCACTTCCGAAGATGAAATCTTGCCAACCGCGCAGAGAACCTCCACGTTTCCGATTTTGAACCTCAGACGCAATGCTAGAAGTCCCTGACTTGGCGTCGCTTTCTTTCCGGAACGGCCTGCGGATCGTAGACTGAACGGTGGTATCCAAGTCATCGTCGTCATCGCCATCAGAGCCCCGCGGCTGCGACCCAACCTCGTCGATCATCGCCTGCTGCATAAGCCCGCCAACCCCAGAACCCTTGACCGTCTGATCGTGGTCACTCTCCTGTGCACTATCCTTCGGCGAGTTCTCCAACGCATAGAGCCTTCGCTCAATATCCTTGTTTGAAACGGACGCCTCGCGCAGCATCCTCTTGAGCTCCCTCTCCCTAGCATCCGCACGCTGTCGCAACGCAGAAATCTCCGCATCACGCTGTGCCAGGTCCCTCGCAAACTGCCGTACAAGCTTCACCGCACCATTATTCGCAACCAGCCGCTCGATATGCGCATCATCAGCGAGATGAAGCGCGCCAGGAAAGTCCCGAATCGGCACGGAATCCTCGAATAAAGCCGCGCGGCCAGAGCTGTGCGAGCCCGTGGTCGTCAGCCTGGCCAGCGTTACCCTCCGATCCCGGTTATGGTCCATCGCACTCTCATTTCCATCGGCCCCATTCAGTAACGCGCTAGTCAGCGCACGGTTCAACGCGGGCTGCCCGAAAAATCCGTTGGGCGAGCGATCGGGGGACAGCGAAGGAAAAGACGTCAGATCGGTTTCGGACTCGGTGGCCGTTGCTGTCGCGGTCACCGGGTTCGATGCGGAGTGGCGTTTCTGTGCCTTGGTTCGCAGGGCTCTAGCTTTCTGGCTGTGGCGCGAGGATGAAGAGGTTTGGGAGGACGAGCGACGCTGCGGACGGAGATGATCGAATTCCGCCATGGCTGGAGGGGCGGTATCTAGGGCTGGCGGAGGAAGGGATAGCCACGGGCTTCATGAATGCTTTTGGGTTTGGGAACTGGCGTTCATAAACGAAGGTATGGTTCGGGGATGTTTTCAAAGGAAAACAGGCTGGAATTATAGATGAGCGACAGCGATGACGGGCCAGATTTCTAAGCTTTGGGCGGCCCTCTCGCGGGGTCCTTGGTTGGATCGATGTCGCGACCAGGGTCAATGCAGGGTAGGACAAGGCAAAAGGTGCAGTATGGCCGGTAAGCTTCTGCACGCGCCGTAAGCGGAAGTAAAGAGGGAATTGGGGTAGGGAAAGAGAGGCTTGGAAAGAGAGCCAGACAAAGAGGTTTGGGAAGAGCAGAAGAGTCCAGGCGGCCTGAAAGAAGGCGAGTTGCGGCCGTGTTTGGACGGGAATTGTTGTATGGAGACGGGCAGCGGCAGTGGAATGACGTGGTGGCTGCATGTGACTTGACCGCCTTTCCTCGCCGCAGACGCGCCAGTTCAGCCCTGTTCCAACTTCTTGTTTTTGAACTGAAGACGGATCTATAGGACTGTCTATGCTTATTCTTCTGCATGTTTGACTGGGATGCTCGAAACCGACGTAATGTCTCGGTCAGATCTGCAGTCCAGGGTAGATCGCCTCAACCTACTCGAGTACTAGACCCTCCAGTACGAAGTTTGAAAGACAACCCAGGTCATCATTGCCGGGTCACTACTCTGCAAGGTTAGATCTGTAGACAAATCCCAGTCAACTGTGATTCCTACGGAGTACGGTATCCAGAGATTAACTGGCCAAGCTGCACATCGAGGTGCAAGTAAACACGCTTACTCATCACACCCATCCCCAGCCAAATCAGCCTCGGTTCTCCGCAATCCCCAGCTCTACCCGAGTCCGATCCATCAACCAACCCATAAAGGAGTCCCTGTTCCTCAACATTCCCCTCTCGCTCATCCCTCCCACCTGATTTACCTCTACTTGTTCCCGTCTCTCATATACCACCAACATGGCCTCAACCGCCCGCCAACGCCTCAAAGCCCTCAGCCAACAACTCGTCGAAGGAATCCCCGACGCCGGCACCTTCGAAGACATCCCCAAGATCCGGCAGGTAGCGGGGGACTCAGTTGGGCCGTACGCACCCAGCCTCTACCCCTCATTCGAAAAGCTCTCGCTAACACATATAACTAGGCGAGTCAAAGACAAAGTGGCCATCATAACAGGCACAAACTCCCCCCTAGGCATCGGGCGCGCAACAGCGCACCAATACGCGCGCAACGGCGCAAAAGCCCTCTACATCTGCGACTTCGCATCAACACACCTGAACACACACGCACGGGAACTAAAGACCCTATACCCAAAAGTCGAGGTACACGTGCGCACCTTCGACGCCGCGAACGAAAGCGCGCTGAAAGCCGTGATCGACGAAGCGCTCTCCACGTACGGACGGCTGGACATCTTCTTCGCGAACGCCGGGATAAGCGGGTCCAACGCGCCCTTTACCGAAGTCTCCGGTGAAGAGTTCGCCGAGACACTCCGGATAAATACAGTGGGTGTGTTTCTGGCCGCGAAGCACGCTAGTCTTGCGATGCGGAAGACGGGCGAGGAGAAGAAGTACCCAAGCGGGAGTATAATAGCGACAGCGAGTGTGGCGGGCTTGCGATCGAACGCGGGGTCGACGGATTACAGCGCCAGCAAGGCGGCTGTTGTGTCGATTGCGCAGACGGTGGCGTTTCAGCTCGCGGGGACGGGGATCCGGATTAATGCGATTTGCCCTGGGGTGGTGGAGACGGGGATGACGGCGCCGATGTATGAGGCTGCGAGGGCGAGGGGGACGGAGAGGAAGATTGGGCAGTTGAATCCATTGCAGCGCGGGGCGGTGGCGGATGAGATTGCGAGGGTTGCGTTGTTCCTAGGGAGTGATGAGAGTAGTTATGTCAATGGGCAGGCCTGGGCAGTTTGCGGTGGACTTAGTGCTGGGCACCCTGTGGTTCCTGGGAAGCTGGCTTGATTGCCTATGATGCTGCTGAGTATATACATCTGATGAAATTGAACAGTATCACGTTTTACTTATAGACAGTATGAATTAACTAATCCCACAGACTGAGGGGGAGGCGCATAGGAGACTGCGCTTCTAGCACAGCGGCAACTTTCAAAGCAGCTCCGTTGCGAAGAATATCGACATAGGGAACGGGTGGTGACGGATAAGGAAATGATGAGAGAGAGGCTTGCCCGGATGTGGAGGCCGCAGGCTATCTATGTGAATGCAAAGGACGCCCTAGAACAAACGTTCTAGATGAAAGAGAAAAAATCGCCCGAAAGCGGGCGCGAAGAATGGGGAATCAAGAAAGGCGTGTCGACCAGACGACCTTCAATATAAAGCGAAAATAATGATAAATGAGTTCCTCCAGAAGAGACAAGGCGTCCGTTAAAGTTTGGCAAGAAGGTAGTGCAGGTGATTGGGGAATCCAGCGGGAGCAAAAAGACAAAACCACAAAAAGAGTGCCAAGATTGGTCACAACTCGCTCTAGATCTGACAATATTGGTATGCGGAGCAGATGTCGTGTCGAAGTCGTCGAAATCAAGCGTCATCGTCGGTTGATGGGGTTTTTCACGCGAGCATTCGAGGAGTGGTTCGCATGAGGTCCTCGCTGGAGTGCTTGGAGAGAGTGCCAGTCTCGGTTGCGCTGTCAAGACCGTCCGTCTCATGGGCGTGCTCGTCGTCGTCCTCGACGATCCGGGTAGGGATATCCCCAGGCCCATACTGTTGGCTGGACCTTTCTGGGAACGTCGAACTGCTGATCATGGACATCGAAGTGCTTGACCGGTTGTGGATGAGGTCGGGTGTAGGAGGAACGCTTGTTCGACCGTCAGGGTGAAGTGTGCTAACTTCGCTATCGCCCATCTCACTGCCCTCTCGGGGAGTCATCATTCCTCGTGGCTCGAGGGTGACCTTTTGTGGCCCCGCGGCATCGCCATCCTCCGCATCCTGGGCAAGCTGCAAGCCCTCAACAGCAGCGGCACACTGCTCACTGATGCTGCGGATGATATCTGAGATGGCATCTGTCTTGTCGCGCAGGTAGCGATCAGCAACATCAGTCACGCTAAGGCGCGCAAGACGGCGTTCTGGTTGACCAATGTTCAGCAGGTGTTGCTCTAGGTCCGGGTTGAAGTTCGACACACCATTAGAGGAATCACCTGTCTTGCCACCCTTGGCAGTCTCCGCGCGCTCCTCAGCCTGCTCCTCCGCGGCCTCCTGCTCCGCCAGTTCGTCGAGTTCCGCCGAGCTGCCGATCGAGCGGACGAGGTGTTCCATGTGGTGGGACTTGCCGTTGATCAAGCTACGCAGGTGCAGGACAACCCGTTGGGCGTCGTCACGCTGGCGTGCAAGAGAAGATGAGGTGTGCTGCAAGGCAGCAAGCTCCTTTTGGTTGCGCTTGCGCTCACGCTCCAACTCTTCCGCAATCTCCTGCTGGAGAACCAAAGCCTCGAGAGCGTCGTCGCGTTGCCTCTCAGTGCCGGATAGACGCAGAGTAAGACGAGTGACATCGTCCTTTTGTTGGTCGATGAGACCAGACAGGCGGCGGTTCTCACGCTTGTGGTTCTCGATCTTCACCTTGAGCTCGCTGGTTTCCTTCGTAAGCTGCTCAGCAAAGGCCTGGAACTTGAGGAACTGCTGCTTCCAGGTCTCCAATTCCTCAACCAAGAAGTTGTTGCGCTTGGTGACCTTGCCAATCTCGGTATCCATGCGGCCCTTGAGGTTGATATAGTCTTGCCATGCCTCCATTGCGTCACGAGAGTACTGGTTACGCTCGCGGACGATCTCGTTCAGATGCCTCATGGACACCTTGGTCATGAGAGGCTTCTTCACTGAGCCGCCAAAGATGGCTTTCATACCGGTGTTGCGTCCCTACACAGTCAGCATTGGCAGTTTATGAAAGATGGGCGCACTTACCAGTTTCTCGCAGACGTGGTCCATCACACCCATGACCGCATCCTGGTTCCACCACTCGGGTTGCTCGACACTCTCAACCTCGCCCCTCATAACAATAATCTGGCCAGCGGGAATGAGCTTGCCGCCCGCGTATGCAGAACGAAGATGGTTTGGAACACCGGACGGAGAAACATCGCCGTTCAACGCCTGCGTCAAGCGGTTGATGAACTTTGTGCGCTGACCAGGGTTCAGGATATTTGGGGGGCTGGAGGTGAGCACAAAGTTCCTATCCAGGTCGACCACCAGAGCATCGGATGGTGCGTTGAAGAGTGTTCGGCATTCGGCCGTCACACCAAGAATGTAAGGTCCAGGCTCCTGCACAAGATCCTTGATGTGGCGGGCATGGACCATCGGTACGTATAGACCACTCCATTCGTAAACGCGAACGCAGTAGCGGATAGTTTCAGCGGCGATGGTGAGCATGGCCGAGTAGTGGCTGACAAAGATAATGCGGCGAGTGGGAGATACGGCGGCTTCGATGACGCCGACAATGTTGGGGATTGAGAGACAGGTGAAGAGGGGCCACATGGCGAAATTCTGGAAGCCGGTCGGAGAGGACGGGAACTGGTAGCAGAGCGCATAGTCCTTCATGTCGATCCGAACAAGGTCGTTGAGGCGCGGGGCGGGGAAGCTGAGAATGCGGGAGACTTCCTCAGCATGGAACAGGTTCGTAGCCTTGTTCCAGTGGATCCACATTCCACGAAGATAGTCGCCCAGAAGGTCGTACAATGGATATCGAGAGAGGAAGCTCAGGCAGTAGGGGATCCAGTACGTCTCATCGGGGTTGTCGTAGTAGTCCGACTCTGTCTTCTTACGCAGTTCGCGAATCGTCTCAGCACGCTTCTCGTCGGCTCGGGACCAGACGCGGAGGGCAATGCCGTAGAGTGTGTGTGATGAGTCCTGCTGCAGGACGAAGGCATGGTGAACACAGTGCGGTTGATTCTTGCCGGTGCAGATCTCGACATCGTGAGGGAAGCAGGCCTAAACATGGTCAATACATTGCTTCTGGTAATGGTCGACATACGCACCCTCATAGCGGAATGTAAAGCTTTCGCGATTTCATTGTCCTGCTCCAGGCGGGGACTGCTCCCCAAGATCTCTGGCAGCCAAAACTGTCCCACGGCTCCCTTCATATGACCGATCTTCCCCTGAGAAGGGGCGGGCGCCTTCACCCACTGGGCGGGCTCGCGCCCGACACCGCATACCATATACGCATGAGTGAGAGTTTTCGGCGTCCGTTGCGCCGGTTTTAAGTTGGCCTGCGAGGGGATCGGCTGTGTGATGCGAGAATGTAGCGATGAAGTGCGACTGGGAACGACCAGCGAGTTTTCGCCCTGTTCACGGGTTGGTGGGCGGTCGCGAGTGGACGGACGAAAGGAGTGGTCTCTCAGAGACGGACCCATATTGGCGAGCGAATATGGTTATGCAAAGGATTGTATAGAGGTATCGCAAGCCTGACAGTATCTAGCCAGGCGGGGCAGCACTGCTGGAGGAGAAAATAGCGAGGGACAAGGGAGAAAGGAAGGGCAATGGCGAAAGGAGGTGCAGCCAAAGGGAATGACGGGCGAGTGGCTGTCTGTCGGTGAGCTATGAAGCGAAGGGCATCTCCAGGCTAGCGAACCGTCGAGCGAGAGAGGTCGTACGGGCGTCGAAGCAAGGTAGAATGCTTCAATTCCTCTCTTGGCCGCCGTCGAGGAATTATTGAATAATCGAAGGGGTGGAAGGTGGAAGGAAGAGAGATGGAAGAGCTGAGGAGAGGAAGAGCAGCCAAAGAGGGGGCGGCCAGGAACCAGAACAGGGGGAGGAAAGAGGAGAGCACGGCAAGCAGGGAGTCAATCTTGTCCCTGAAGAGCTTAGAGCGCAGGCTAAGGGGCGCGGATATTAATATGGGCATTTTTATTATCATAATAATAATTCTATTATTACTGGGTTCAGTCTAGGCTGCGGAGTCGTTTGGCGTTCCTGCGCCGGCTAGTCAGGGACGGACCTTACTAGACACACTCTAGGGTCGCCGGTGGTTGAGCATTACGAAGACGACCACTGCGCAGTTGAAACTTGATACAGAGTCGGCGAGGATAGAATCTGCTCTGCTCCTTCTTCAGTGAGACCGTGGAATTGGTGAATGGAAGCTTCCACGCGAGAGCGGGATCGCCACGAGCCCCGAGCAGGTCGACCATGGCCACAGTGACAAATTGGCCTGCGCTAGTTAGTGGACTCCGACTGAGGGAGGACACTGACTCCCTGAGAGGGTGAGGTCGCTTATCAGGGGTTGGGGAATCTGAAACCGAGGACAAGGAGTCTGGCTCAGGGATGATCATTATTTACCGCTCGGCCTGCGCTTGCCTCTGGGTCTGTGATTCTGCATCTTTCGTCAAATCGATGATACTATCGCATCGATAGATCGAGAGTTTCGATCTAAGCTTATCCATTCATCCGTCAAAAACAAGGCTTTATGCTGCGGCCCTGCCGTGTTTCCTTCGTGCGTCGGAGAATTTGGGATTTGTTTTAATTGCATCCATGATCCTGGCCACCGACAGCCTATCTCCGCGTTTGTCTGCTGTGTGGCCGTGGACAGACCGGGGTCTCGCTGCTGCGTACATTGTACACGGTAGACTGCCCGACCCAGTTACCAGGTACATCCAATGATTGTCCTCATCTCACCGAAAATTGAGCTCTCTCAGCAGGCTACAAACCTAAATCAGTGACTGTGTGACTTTGGGTGATACGTCCTACTCCGTACTGGAGCGGACCGTGCTCGAGTCGCTGTGGTACAGTTGTTGTACAATGTACTAGCAGTCAGCCTCAGCATAAAGGGTATCAATATCATTGACTCTGAGACCGCCCTTCGATTGTCAACGCAACTAGATACCCCATAGAATGGTATATCGAAATCGAATTATCGATTTCCTCACCCACCGTGGCGGTTCACATCTGGTTTTCTCCGCCGATCGGTGGTCTGTCCACATCTTTCTCCCGCCCGTGGTTTCACGCCGCAAACTGCGGGTCCAGTTTGACTTTGCCTTAGCCTTCATCCTTCAGCTTTGACTCTGCGTTCTTGACTCAAGATCTCTCCATGCTTGCGGCATCACCGAGTCACGAAACCACGCACGTTATCTGTCATGGACTCATGGCGGGCGGTCGTGACTCTTGCGATACTCATCAGATACTCTGTACTACTGGTATGTACGGACGCAGTGCAGTCGAGCCTGACTCGGTCACGCCCACAGCGGCTGGCCATCTATACTCCACGCTGTAGGAGATAGACTCGTCAAGATTAAAATGCCCCAGCAACTCCGCCGCAAGCAGGATTGACACTATAGATTCTTTGTTCGCAATCTCCAGCTTTGTGTCACATAGAGACTCGGCCTCCGGCGCTTCCGCAGTCCAGCATCAAACGGGAACTCCAACACTTCAGCCCAAGACGCTGACAAGCATGGTTTGGAGTTTGGACGCAATTGAGGATGCGCTCGATCTGCTGATCATACAGTTGCGAAGCTGATCGGCCTGCTCCAGCTTCCGGTCAATCCACGCTCAGCACGAGCCCATATCAAGTCCAAGCCCGGGATGCTCTCTGTACTCTGTAGCGGGGACCTCGCTTACGGAGTATGCGGGTTGTAACTTGTCGTCAGGCTTTCCGTCTCATCCATTGGCCCTAGGCCCTTCGGAAGCACGTATACTGCCGACGCTTTTAGCGTCAAATTGATTTTTTGACTCCACCATTTATAAGTAATTAATTTGTTTAACTTTATATAATATATTTTATATATTTTAGAATAAACACCTTTTTAAATAATGTTTGCCGCGTACGCCGCGTAATAATAAGATAGTAAAGTAAAAAAAGTATAAAGGTTATGCAGGTATATTATATTATATAGTATATTATATAAAAATTAATATATTATATAATAAATTAAGTTTTATAAAATAAAATAGTAAAAATTAATAAGTTATAAAGGTGGTAAAATTAGGCGTGGCTAATTAAAAAAAAGTATTTATATTAATTTAGCAAAATTTAAACTTAAAAAAATTTACTAAAAAAGTTTTAAAGTTAACTACCACTATATTTAAATATATATTTTATTATTAAATATTAATTATTTACTAAAATAGTAAATAACTCTAGAACTTTAAGAATTTAAATATTTAAAAAACTTATATAAAGTAACTTAATCCCATACTTTTAATATTTTTACTTTATTTTAATTTTTATTATAAATTTGTGGCGTAAAACACTTATAAAATTAAAAGTATAATTATAAAAAAATAATATATAAGGTTTTTAGCCCTGGTGCTTGCTTTTAGCAAAGTTAAATTTTATATAATAATTTTTATATAAACTTAAGCCCACCAGAATTTAGTATATAAAAAAAGGGGTACTTATTACTACTAAAAGTAAAGCTATTTAAAACTTTTTTTTAATAATTTTATTTATAAAAATATTTATTTTTTTAATTCTTAGGCCTTTAATAAACCTTTTTAGTTATTATAATTACTTTTTTTATATTAACTACTTTAGGTTTATATTTATAATAGCTAAATTTAATAAGCTTTAGCCCTAAATTAATAATATTTATTTTTATAATAACTAGTATACTAGTATTAAAAGTAATAAAATTACTTTATATTATAAGTGCCGCCTAGCTAATAAAACTTTATAAAAGCCTTTAATTAAAATAAAAAACCACTAGCATAAAAAATTAAGCTAAAAACCTATTTATTACCCTTACTATATATATATTATTAAAAACAGCCCTTATATATTTATTATTTAAAGCTTTAAGTAAGGTTATAATTATAAGCTTAATACTATTTTAAAATTAAATATAGCTATATAAACCTGGTGTGGAGGGGTGGTACTAGAGCATGGGAGCTAAAGAAGCTAAATAGTGGTAGTAACCTAGGACTAGATAGTATGTAGTATAAGTAAAAGTAATAATAAAAAAAATATATATTAAAGTAAATAATTAATTAGGTATAAAAGGCTAGTAGCAAGGCTATAAGTATTATAAAAATTAATATTAAAATATAACCCTATTATATTTTTTTAGGGGGGGCTAAAACTTACTAGTAAGTAAAACTTTTTTTTACTTACACCCTTTATTTTTTTTAAGGTAGTATTTTAAAGTATAATAACTAGCTATATTTTACTTGGCTAGCCTTTATTAAGCCTTATTTTTTACCTTTTTTTTTTTATTAATATTATGTACAGGCAATAATTAGGTAATTTAATAAATATATTTTAAAGCTTGTTAGTTCCGCCGGGGTAAAAAGTATTAATAATAGTTAATAAGTAACTTAGCTTTATTTAATACTTTTTTAATAGCTATAGCCACGTGGGCGGGAATAAGGGTAAAAGGTAGTATTATTTTATAATAATTATAGTTAAAGTTATTAAAATACTTTTATTTTAGCTTTTAAAATTACATGTATATATTTATAATAATAAAAATAGCCTTTTTTTTTAGGACTTAAAAAAGTTATGCCTAATAAATATATTTAGGTTAAATACTAGCTTTATTTTATTAACTACCTTAACTAAATTTTATTTATAATATTTTACTAAGGTATTATTAATAGCTCCCAGCCCCTGGAGTTAAATAGTTAAGGTAAATAATTATAAAATTTTTAAATAATAATTTAAAAAATTAAATAAAAAGGTAGGGCTAGGCATAAGGTTATAATATATAATAATTAATTTTTTTTAAGTACCTTTTTTTATTATTTTAAGTATTTAATAATTAGCTAATATAATAATATACTAGGGTAGTACCATGCGCCTTATTTTTATAACTAGTTTAGTAAATTTATGCGGTACTAGTAGGTATATAATTTAAATAATAAGTTATAAGTAAGGGTTTTTTTTTTAATTTATATAAAAGTATTTAATATTATTTTTAGTTTACTTTTTGTTTTTCACGCGGTTAACTAAATTAAAAAGGTTATTAATATTATTTTATGCCTTTACCCGTGCTAGCCACGCCTTTACCTTATTTTTTTAATATATACCTAGTAAAATCTTAGTGTAGTTATTATTATTTTTTATATTTAGTAATAATAATTTTTAAATAATATTTACTTTTTATTTATTTTAAAGCACTTAGTTAATATTAATATTCACGTGTTAAAAGTAAGTATAGTTTTTTTACTAAGCATACTTTATATAATATAAATATAAAATTAATTAATACTTATAATTAGGCCTTAATATAATATACTAGGCCTAATAAAATAGGTCCTAGCGTATAAATTATTAAATAATAATATAATAAGTATTTTATAGCTAGCTATAGTTTAGCACTTTTTAATACTTGCGTAGGTAGTAAAAATAAATATTTATTTTTTTTAGGTAAGGTTTAAAAATTAAATATTTAATTTATACCCCTTAGGCGCTAGATTTTTAAGT